TCCCGGGGGGGGGGGGGGGTCTGTATGCCATTCTTGTCCCATTTTCCACTACTTTATTAAAAAATGTAACTATTTAATTGTTTCCTCCTAGCAATTCTGTATCCAGAGCAGGGGAAAGCTTCCTTGATGGCTGAAGAAATCTCTCCTATTTGCAGGGTATGATGTATGTACTACTGTAGGGCGCTATTCAAGCACAGGCGTTGATGTTATTGGTATGAACATGAAAATTTTCAATTTCTTGAGATGCTTTTTTCCAGTTTAAAAAGAAAAGAGAGATAATGTGGTTGTCATGACTCATCATGGTAACTTATGGCATTTTATAATGCGGTCTTAAGTGCAGTTTTGTGAGCTGATGATGAAGCGAAATTTTTTACATTCTTTTTCCCAACTTTTTTGTGTCAAGGATGTGACAATGCGGTCTGAGGAATGTTATTTTTGAATATGGTAGATAAAGAGAATCCTGCCGAAGGCATCATTGTTAAGATGTCAAGTGGCAACGAAAAGCAAAATTGTTCACTCTCAGTTTCTGTTACTTGCCAGACGAATAAAGTTGATGTAAGTATTTGTATCTCGTACATTTTGCTAAACCTAATAAGATAGGAAATTGCAGAGTTGATTAGTACTTTCTATATTTAATACCTCATCTGTTGATTGTATCAGGGGCCAATCACACTCGAGAAATCAGGGATATGTCATTATGCGAGTGTTAGCGACTCATCTGTTTGAAATGAGCAGTAGTCTTTCTTAAACAATCTAACCAGGGATCTTTTCACTGATGGTATAGCTTTCCACTGTTGTCCTGGTTCAGATATATGTGTGTATCATGTCTAATCTCATATTTTCCTGTATGAGACTTTTGACTTCCAGGAATTTGTTCTTAGGGATTGCATGATTGAGTAATGTCTGCACTTGCCACCCTGTACATTGTGCTTGGACATCCTGAATTTCTTTGTAGCATTGCAACTTCTTTATTTATTCAAAGTATGGAATAAAAAGAAAAGCTTGTTGATTTGTTTAGGCAATTTGAAGGATATGATGTTAGTAACATGAGAAGACAGAGCATACTGCAGAGTTGAGTGGGTTGTTCTCTTTCAGATTTGTATGGGAGTCATAGGATTATACTGGAGAAAGGAATGGCAGCCACAGAAAGCAAATCTTGATTTAACATTTTATCCTTGGCATTCTTTAATGGTGAAAACTAAAGGCATTGGTCATGTGTGTTTTCTCTTAATGCTCGGAGTTCAAGATCTTGATTCTTGTTTGATTCACAGACTACTGAGTTGCGCATCCTTCTGGTTGTGCTACAACTATATCAGGCCATGGTGGTGGATGGGGTTGGTTTGGAACCTTACTGCTCATGTGAGTGCTACATTCTTTTAGAGGCTGTTATATTGCAAATAGGTTCAAAGTTCGCCTCTGAGTTGAAACGCTTTGATGTAACGTAAATTCTTCGATTTTCAGTGTCTTGTCCCTATTTGGAGCTTATTTGCTGGCTGCTGCAGCTTATCGGTATTTCGCCTTTGGAATTCGTGGCTTAGATGTATGTTCACATTTTTTTCCCTTGAATTGGTGGTAAAATATGGTTGATCTCAAACGGACATACTTGCTCCAACGGGCACACGATAGTTAAGATTTTGTTACATATGGTGAATGAATAAAGGACCAACCCAGTTCGTATCCCCATCTAGTGGGGGTGCTGGGGAAGTGAATATACTAGGCCACCTTACCCTACATACGGTGAATGAATGTTGGAAAATAATTATTATGGCTTGCCTAGCATTTTGGTTAATTTTATGTGTTGGTAATGCAAAGTTTTCATATCTGTTTTAGGTAATTCCCAATTTGGATTTCTGGGCGACCGCACCTCACAGAATACAGGTACTCTTCTTTGTTTATATCTTATCTTTTGGTGGCTCTGCATCTACTTCAAGACCACAGATTCAGGAGGCCTAGCTAGTTATGTTCACCACCACAGCTCATATTCTCCAGTCAACTTCTGAGCCGCCATAGCTCCTCTCTTAATCTTATTGGTGATCCTCGACACAAGGCACTGACCCTTCTCTCTGATTGTGAAAAAACGCCACCAGATTATTTCAGTGTATGTCCCGTCTTGGCCAACATGAAAGGTGCCTCCCATGTTTCTCTTCTCTGTGATACATTTTTAGGAGAACCGAAAGAATCGACCTTTCATCCGGTAGAAATAATACAAGCATCGGGGAAGAATACATACACACACAGCACTTGTTGTTTCTAATCTTCTGCAAAAACCACTGTTACTGTTTCCACATTACTGTACCTTTAGACATTCTTGTAGCAGTTTAGAAATTTACTCAGCCGATGTCTCCATGTTTCAGTACTTCTGAAAAACCATGTTCACAAATGCATGTGTGTGTATATACACATATACAGTTCGTGATGTGCTTCTCATATTTCATAGTGGGCATTCATAATCTAAGGCCACCTTTCACAGATCACCATGAAATCAACATGTTCAAGTAAAAACAGTCAATTTTTTTCCTTGATGGGGTCTGGAATCACAAATGGTACAAGGTTTTTTCGATTTGCAAGAATGATATAACGAGTAATTCTTGCTCCAACTGAAAGTTTCTGGTAGACAAATGACAGGAAAAGGGATATGCTATTATTGTAGAGCTATTAAAGCCATTGTTATGGTCACACGGATTGGTTGGGGGTTATTTCGGGGGTCAGGACAAGAACCTGCGACGAGAGAAACATTGAGTGCTGAGCGCCAACTACTTCGAGCCTGAAAGCCCAACCTTTTCTCAATTAACACCACTCTGTTATTTTGATCATCCTCTAGATCAGTTGGTACTTACAATTTTTCAATTTTTTTTAAATCCATCTCGTATAATTAAATTCTCCATGAGGGTTTTTTTTATTATTATAAACGTGTACCGTCGACTTTAATTTATATTTGTTTGTAAGTTACCGGAAAAAAATGGAGGAAAAAAAAAGTGAAGACAATGATATGCCATCTTTACAAGACTAGGAAGAAGACACTTAGCTTAGAAGCCAAGGGAAAATTATTCATATTCGGCATCTCTCTTCACCACCACCATCATCTCACATCCGCCAAAGACTAAATTATTATTATTATTAGGAAAATAACGAAATAATTCATATTCATTTTTCTCTAGTATGTAATTGAGCTATATATATATATATATATAACCTCCATGCCACCTTTTTTTTTAAAGAAAATAGTTATCCAAAAGAGTTTAGTTGAAGAAAATCTTATTGACTAAATCAATCATTTCTCTTACATATGGATACGAATTGTTGCCGACAATCCTTCTCATAAATCTAAGATAATTAGCGTAGAAACGAGTTTAATTAACTAATAATTATTTTAAGAAGATATATAATCATAATTAAGGAGGGGTCAACCACTCAGCGTCTATATTTACCTACTCATCACCCTCTAATCTTTTATTTTTATTATATTCTCTCTCATTCACCAAATATAATCATTAACAGTTCAAGTACTACTCTTCATCGCTTGCCCATCTTTATTATTTCTTGAAGCATTTTCTTTCTTTCTTTTAAATAAAAATGAAATCATTTGCACGTATATGCGATCATCAAAATACCAACCCCCCCAAATGGCTTTTCTCTTATTGTGTCCCTCGCAATTTCATGATTTCCCTTCCCCCTAACGCTTATAAAATTTCCATTTCTATTCACATTTTTGGCACTCGTCTCTTTCCTGACACCAACAAAAAAGAAAAAGAAAAAGAAACGACAAACATGGTGAAACCTTCGTCACCGGTTTCTTCACTCTCTGCACCTTCTCTTCCGAGAAAAGCCCGTCTCTCTCCTTACCTCTTGACGCTTCTAATGTTCATACTGTTCGTCGCCGTCCTCTATGGCGAAGATTTCATGTGTATCTTCGGCCAGCTCGAGCCCCGCCTCCCCCGGCCGCTCTCCCGAACCACCGGTACATCTTCTTATTATTGTCTCGTCATTTCTTTTGTAAGGTAGGGCTATATATACATAGTTACTGATATTTGAATATCTGAGATTATATTGACTTGAAGATACGTTCCATTTATAAGCATCAATGGCTCTAGAATTCCGGAATATCTGCTCATGTAAACATGTAGTTTATATGTGTTGAAGCTCATATATTCTCTGGTAAGATAGAATTATGGAGGGACTGATATCATACTTTGCATGCTAAAAGTAAACCCTGACCCGCATTGAAAGTTATTTATGCAAATAGAACCCTAGAGTTCTTGTTTTAATCAAGGAAATCCCCTCTACATCATTCACAACACGTGGAATTCAGTACAAATCTTTGAAGGGCAAGCAGAGTTCATCAGAAAACTGATGTTTCTCTTTTGCATTTTGTTGGGTGAATTTTGTGTTGTGGAGAGAAGAGGGGAAGGAGAAGAAGTATCCGTTTGCAGTGGGAAAAACGCCGGAAGGGTGTGACGTATTCAGCGGGAGATGGGTTCGGGACGAGACGAGCAGACCTCCGTACGAGGAATGGGAGTGTCCGTACATCCAGCCACAGCTGACGTGTCAGGAACACGGCCGTCCGGACAAGGACTATCAGTTCTGGCGGTGGCAGCCACACGGCTGCGATCTCCCCTCGTCAGTCTCTCTCTCTCTCTTGAGTGTCTTGATTTGGTTTATGTGATGTATAACTGGATGGGATGGCATTTCAGATTCAACGCTACGATGATGCTGGAGACGTTGAGAGGGAAGAGGATGATGTACGTAGGCGACTCGTTGAACAGAGGAATGTACGTTTCAATGGTCTGCCTTCTTCATCGGCTCATCCCCGACGACCAGAAATCCATGGAAACCTTTGACTCCCTCACTGTCTTCACCGCCAAGGTTGACGCTCTAATCATCCTGATTATTTTTTTTACGCATAGATTGTCCGGGTTGGATCCGGACCCGATTACAGATCCATTTTACTCGGGTACCAAAAATAATTTTTGGATTTTCGTAAGTCCGAAATTCAAATTCAAGACTTTAAATTTATTTCATTTATATATATTAGAGTTGATTGGGATTGGATATCCAAATTTCAAGATTATTCGAATTGGAACTCGAAATTTTGAGAGATTTCTTTCGTAATACTATATGTTTTTTTATATATATTTTTTCTAAGATTTTAGGTAAAAAGTCAATTTAATGTTGGGTAATAACAAAATCCGATCTGATCTCTAACATCCATACACGGGACTCGCAGATCAGATAGGGTATCGGAAATTCGGATTCTTTTGCCAGCCCCAGTCACAAAGGCATTGAATCGACTCGTTTTATTCTCAATTTGATTCTTGTTATGCCCATGTTCGTCGGAATCTGCAGGAGTACAATGCAACGATAGAATTCTACTGGGCACCTTTTCTCCTGGAATCGAATTCAGACGACGCGATTGTCCACAGAATCTCAGACAGGATCGTGAGGAAAGGATCGATAAACAAGCACGGAAAACACTGGAAGGGCGTGGACATCATCGTGTTCAACACCTACCTCTGGTGGATGACCGGCTTGAAGATGAAGATCCTGTAATTACCATATTCATATATACATGTCGTTGATTATTGGTTGAATTTCTTAATCATCAACCTTCTTTTGATGAACGGTTATGATTATACATGCAGGCAAGGGTCGTTCGACGATGAAGAGAAGGTGATAGCAGAGGTCCCGACGGAAGATGCATACAGGATGGCGATGAAGAGTATGTTGAGATGGGTGAAGAGGAACATGGATCGTAAGAAAACTAGGGTTTTCTTCACCAGCATGTCTCCCACTCATGCCAAGTCAGTTCTCCTCTCTCTTTCAATTCAGATGTGAAAACAAAAAAAAAGGCTTGCATTTGTTACTTCTAACCCAAGCAACTGAATTTTCTGCTGCATTCATGCATCTTTGGTTCCGCATTAGGCAGCTCTGCAGCTTTCCTTTCTGATTTCGATATGGGTCTGACTATCCCACAAGATTTCATACCGTTTTGCTTCCGCTTTTCGATATGAAGATTTTTCGTATTGATTTTCGGCTGCAGGAGCATAGACTGGGCAGGGGAACCGGGCAAGAACTGCTACAACGAGACAACGCTGATAGAAGATCCAAACTACTGGGGATCAGACTGTCGGAGAAGCATAATGGAAGTGATCGGAGAAGTGTTGGGAAAATCCAAGATTCCGGTGAGTTTCCTGAACATAACGCAGCTTTCGAGCTATCGGAAAGACGCTCACACGTCGATATACAAGAAGCAGTGGAGTCCATTGACGAAGGAGCAGCTGGCCAATCCAGTGAGCTACGCAGATTGCGTGCACTGGTGTCTCCCTGGTCTCCAAGATACTTGGAACGAGCTTCTCTTCGCCAAGCTCTTTTACCCTTAGACAACAACAACAAAGAAAAAAAAAACTATGTATTTTGTGGGGTTTTAGGGCAGATGTAAAGTGTGTTTTATTCGTGGAAGTCATTGAATTGATTCGTTTCCAATTTGTGTTTCATCCGAATTATTTTCCAAGCAGTCCAATAGATAGTTTATACATATACATATATATATATATATATATTCTAGGATGGTAATTATGAAATTCACTTGTCTTACAATACAAGATTCGACATTCATGTAACTTGTAAGTGGATTAGACGATATAATCACAACTCATTTAATTCCAGCCCAACTAAAATAAAATAAAATCTTATGAATTATTTAAATTGCATTGTATCTCAAGAAAATTATTTTGCTTAATGAGATAATCGAGAAATCATTTACATTCCATCCCAAACCCTTTAAGCAAATTAATTAATCACGGTACATAGAAATTTTATAGAAAATTCTTTAAAATCCTGAATATATTCAAATCCATTTCGATAACGCCCTTTATTCTTTTAGCCACAAACAATAATGGTAGGTGGGTTTTATGTCATTTTACATGCGACCAAAATAGGGAAAACATTAATAGCCTCCTTGCCAACTTGCATGTCAACTTGCATGTACTTCCTCCCTTTCCAAACAAAATATTTACACGTCGTACATAACTATTATACAAATAATCATAATTTATATATTATGTCATCCATTTATTTATTTATATGGAATATAAAATGTTCAAAAGAACAGTAGCGACTTTGTGCAACTTGTCTTTGTTTTTCTTTAAGCCAAGTTGAATTTCATTACATCCAACTTGCATTTCTGCATATATATAACGATTCCTTTGAGACTATCTGATATTTTAATGCAATTTTCAAGATCTTACCAATTGTTTTACTCAAATATGAAAATTATTGACCATTTCGTTTTTCACACTTGTTCACCTGTAGTTCGATTAAGTATATGTGTATATGAACAAGTGTATAAATTTGTCCAATTGCTAACTTAAAAGTATTTTTATTTCTACTTTTTCTGGACAAAAACACGATTCTTTTGTGTAAAGTTGGTTTGAATAAAACGACAGCTGATTTGGACCGACCTTCATTTTCTGCGCAATGTGTACCATAAATCTCGGCTTTATTAACAAGGTGTCGTGTTTTTAGAAAACGAAATAAAAACGTTAAGTACGCACGAACCCTATAATTAGCGTTTATTACGATCTATCCCTTACTACATAATTACATAGAACTAATTTATGAGTACCAATTAAAGCATATTATATATGACTTCGGTAATATACACCTCAATATGATTCGCTGCTTCATACGTTACCGTTCAAAACTTCAAAGAAGAAAGATGTTAGATATTAACCTTTTTCTTGTTAACAGATAATAGATATATAAACTGAGGGGAAAATACATGATAAAGCCCTCTTAATAAAGATCTCTGTTGTAAAGTTTCAAGAACCACGCGTACAAACAGGTCAAGAAGAAGGGAGAGGGGTCAACATCGTATCTTGATTCTTGACAAATCCCCCAAACCCTAACTTCGAAAAACGAACAAACGCACTAACATCACAATCTTTTTAAATCTCAGTTTTACCAAGAACCCTCGACTGATTTCGAAGTTCGAACCCGTGTCGAGAATTCAAAAAAAAAAAAGTCAAAATATTTGAAATTATTTGAAAAAAGTTCAAAGAAAGAAAATTTTAATTACGAGGTTTTTTGCGCAGTCTTCGGCGAGTTCTCCGCGAGCCGAGCCAACGACTGCAAGTTGCACCGTACGATGGTATCGACGAAGCTGCAAGTCTCTTCCTTTGTGTTACCGACGGGCACGTCGACGATGTATGACTCGACGACACGTGTCACCTTCCCGTCCGGCGACTCGTGCACCGTCGTCACCGACCTGTAGTTCTCGAGCCTGTGGTCCCCACCGACGACGCTGAAGCTGATGACGTGGCGCTCCTCGTCCAGGATCTCGAGCCTCTCGACGCTGAACCCCGCGGGCAGTCCCGACACGACGCGAACTTCCCGCACGGATCCCACGCGGACGCCGTCGCCCAGCACCACGTGGCAGCTCCGTACGAAGTGCTTGTACGACTGAGGGCTATCGAAGCGACGGAGGATGGCCCACACGGCCGACGCCGGCGCGTGGATCTCAGTCTCCACGACGGAGTAGCACTGCGTGGGGCTAACCGCTCGCTTGTGACGGAACGCCACGTGTTCGGGGACGTTCAAAGCACGCGCGAGGCACACTCGCGTCAACGGCGGCAGGGGCTGCTTGTGGATGTGACAGTGGCCGGAACTCACAGCGGCATTTGCCACGTCAGCGGAGACGGTTCGCTGGAACTGCAGCGGAGAAGGCGTGCTAATTTTAACCATCTCTCTAATGAGGTTGTAATGAGGTGCATGTAGGCATATATATATATATATATAATATGTATATTTGCGGCTGAAAAAGAGATATCAGTTTTGGGTTTCGTCGGTTGTATCTATGATTTTTTTTTTAACATATGGTTTTTTGCCAACTTGTTTTTTTCTTTATTCAGAAAATGAAACATGTAGCTAGAAGACCATCTTGGAAGAAATACATCTAAAAAAAAAAGAAAAAAGAAGATAATAATTAGATCAACATGTCCCATATGCACCTTGTGAAATATTTATTCAATATTAAATCCTTATCTTTTGTATCATTTTAAATAAACACAAAATCAAACGATTTTTACACCGAAATGCGGATGCGTAGAGGAATCCATGGGCAGCGAGTAGCAACTACTATTCATCAAGAAAGAACATTACTCTTTTATTTTTTGTACATAGCCTCATTAAGGCAACACCAAGCTTCAGGCTTTGATTTTTTTTTTGGGCGAAAGACAGAAACTTTATGATCTCGAAGTCGTTCTCATTTAGTGTTATTATAGAATCTTCCGTAGAGATATTCCGGCCGGGACAAGGAGCGGCGGCGGTCGGTTGAACATGGCGGCGGCCGAAGAGGTTTGGGCGTTGGTGCTAGCGGAAACGAGAGGAAGCAGAAGAACATGCCCAATTTGTGGGCCCATATCTCTAGGCGGCCCATTTATTAGTCTAAATTGGGCTTTTAAGAAAACCGAGTTTAGTAAAATAAATTACCCATTAATTGATTCTTTTTTTTTTTTTTGCAAACTATGTGACTTTAGTTAAAACATTTTGTAAAATAAAATTTCTTAATTAATTATTATACACCAATTATCATTAGTTCACTAATTTCGTGTAAATAAATTAAAGAAACAGTAAGGATAAAAGGATTTTTTTTCCCTTTCTTGAAAAGGGCTTTCTCTACTTCAGTGTTCCTCCTCTTCAAAAAACCTATCTCTAACCTTTTGAATGGCATCCACAAGGTTCTTCAGCTGTATCATACGACCCAATTCTGCGTCAGTTTCTTTAGTTTATGCGTTTATTTATGAAGCGAGACGCACGCATGCTTTCATTACAAACCTCTTGTTTGGCAAACCTATTGTATGTGAGCAGTCCTTTATATAGATCTTCACTATCTTGCCCCGAGCTTTCTTCCTGCCATTAATGGGTTTTTTTTATTATTATTATTAGCAAACCTACAGAACGTTACAGTTCATGTACTTGTGCACACGCACCAACTGAAGAAGTGTTTCGAAGGACTTTGTGTCAATGCATGTTGATTTGATGCCCATTTCTGATAGAGTCCTGCCAGATACGAGGAAAGGTTTAGTCTTTTTGTTACCGGGTTTCGCTTACCATTTTCAGACAGGAGATGATGATGTTTTGTACTCATGACCTGCCAATGGTATGAGCAAGAAACTGACTCTTGGCAGCTAGTCTGTCGTGTTCTTCGCTAGTCATTTCCAGCATTTTGCATCCCTGCTCAGTGTGTGAATGCGTATATTTATATATATATTCTTGAACATTCTTGGTATATATATCCTGAAATCCCTTTGGACTATATTGATCTGTGTGTTCGATTGTCTCTGTGAACGTGTTTTCTCTGGTTCCATGGAAACAGAGACAAGAACAGAGAGATGAAGCAGTACCTCTGTCCGGAAAACATTGAGGAACTTAGAGCAAGTAGCTTCATCCCGTAATCTGACTTTATCGTACATAAAGGCTAAACCTTTCCACCCGTCTTTTCCGCTTCGTGGTCCAAACATGGGGTGTGTGCAGAGAATGTCACAATCCTCAGGTACCACCTGAACAAAACCAAACACAAGTTCCGACACGCAGCGCAAAACATGCACTTAAACTGACCCAACAAACTCTGCAGTTGTGTATAAAAGACATGAACATCGGAATGAGAAGCACAACGAGTGTTTGGATGGGAAGAAAATGAGAGAAAGTCTCAGATGAAGCTGAGAGTTTTACTTGGAGAAGAACGTCCTTGGGATGCTCCTTGACAGAGAGAACATCAGCAAAGAGAACAGGACGCCTAATGCTCTTAAGTGGCATCGACTCAAGGACATTGGAGAGCGAAAGAATCGATGTGCAGAGCAAGATGACATCACTATCGGCTTCAAGAAAGGCATCAGTGTCCCTGCAACCACAACCATGGATGGAAGAAGAAGATGAAGATGATGATGAAAAGGGTATTGTGTATAATATGGTTTTTCGGTCGAGATTATTACCGGAAGAAGACAATGCCGAGACGGATACAGAGATCAGAGTAATCAGAACGGGAAGTGGCATGAATGCTATGACCTTGTTTGATCATTGTCTCTGCCAGGAACTGTCCGAGGTTGCCGAACCCAACGATCCCTATTTTCAGGTTCTTGTTCGGAGAAGCAGACATGGCCATGGCTTGAGCTCAAGCTTCTTTTTTTTTAATTATATATATATACTTAAGAAAGGAAGAAAAGAACAAAACCAATTTGGCTTTGATCTCTTTGGATCATATAGGCAAAGGCCAAACATGATATGCCACACTGGAATATTTCTACACGTATTTTTTTGGTTTTATTATGTAGAAGTTGCGTGGACGATACTGAGACCCACGATCTATGCCATGGAAGTAAACACGATCGATAACTCCAGTTACGTAACATATATACATATATACATAGAGATGAATATCAGCTCACAATCTCAAGGATTCATATGTTTCAATGGGCAAAGTCCGTAAATGAAATAGTGAAACCAGGACAAACCTCGATCAGTAATAATAGCATGCCACACACATGTCGACCAAACCCTCTTAACCTAAAATTCAAACCCCACACACACAATTTCAGCAGAATATAGCACTTGAGCTTTCATATAGGCATTGAGAGTAAGAGAAGAACACCAACCAAAAAAAAAAAACCATTGTTTTTGAAGTAAATCTGCCGGCAGAAGCAGATAAGATACTTAGGTAAGGTCGTCCTCCTCTAGCTCCTTGGCCTTCAGCTTTTCCTTCACCCTTAGTAATAGTGTTGTCTTCCATGAATCCTGAAAACATGCCCAGATTGCATATATGATTGCACCATTACAGAAGGTCAGGTGATATATATACACGCACACACACATATAATATTCTATGGGCGGGTTTCAGATCGTACCAGAGGTGTCATGCTGTCGAATTCCTTGACGACATCTGTGAACTTTGCAACGTCCTCCTCATCAATAACAGAGGCAATGTCCTGTCAAGTGGAAAAAAAGATATGCATTTAACATATAGAAACCTATTTTGCCCGCTGAGCTAACAGACTATTGATCTGATGAGGGAGGAAAAGTTTTGTAATTGATGTTATTATGTATGCTGTTCATAGTTTGGTACACAATCCAATGAACAAAAAGAATTGGTTCTCTCACTCTATTTACTGTTAAACAAAAAAAAGACATCAAACTAAACCTACCGCCAAGAACTTGCACTCCCGAGTTCCTGAAAAAGTTGGATCAAGGTCCTGCAGAAAACCGGGTGTTAGATTAATGTGATGCTTTTGAGGACATTCCCGAGAAAACGCTTAGAGCTACGTTACGTATATGCTATGTACAAGAACCTGATACTTCTCCAATGCATTGCTAATGGAAACAACATCGCTTTTGCATAGATGGCAAATGCCAGCATTGAGAAGATGCCCCTTAACTCCATATTTCAGCAAGTTATTGTTGAGGGACTGGCGGGCTATTTCTTCATAAATCTGGATTGCCTTGTCATACCTGACAAAAAATTGAAACGCATATCATGCAAATATTGCCATCTCATCACTGCTCCAATAAACTAGTAACAAAACTCTACAAATGATGATTTGCATCTCGACAATGTTAAAGCATAATATAAGAAAGCAGAAAGGCAAGATGGACGAATTCTTACTGCTCCATCTGGGCAGCATATTGCGCCACCTTTAGATTGCACTGGTTAGCAGAAGTTGTTACTTCTTCATTTTGAAAAAATTCAGCTGCCTTTTCAAAGTAAGCAATAGCTTGGTCGATGTTTTGATCAGATTCATAATACTCAGCAATTTCCTGCATACAGAAGACATTCCACAATGACAAACGATTGGGGACGAATGATTGGTGCGCCTCTTAGGATACCGCCTAAAAAGCGATGCAGAAATTGCAACAAACTGTACAGTTAAAGAACACGGATAACGAATGGATCGACCTGTAAAGGATAAAGCGGCGACTGATAATAAAGAACAAAACCTGAAGAATAAGGCCCCTAATAAAACCCTCTTTCAATCTTAGTAAGTACTTATAATCCCAATTTCAGGCTAGGCAAGAAAACACGGTACCTTATAATATCGTGCAGCCATGCCAAGCCTTCCTATCTCACAAAATATATTTACTGCTTGCTCTAAGCAAGATGCAGCCTCTGCAGAAAAGGTCACGCTTATATCAGGACATGATACAAATGGATATCGTAAAAGATGATGCCAGGAAAAATGCTAGATTTCATAATCACCACTAACAATAGGGTCCTCGCATCATTGACCCTCTACCAAGTGGGAGACTCATAGGACCAATAACAATGACAGAGATCTCGATCATAAAGAGTGGCTTTCAGGCCATAAAATACAATAGAGTGTCCCAGCGAGTTGCATACCATTTGTATTTATTTTCTTGTAGCATTTGGCAGCTTCAGCGTAGGCATTAGCAGCATCATGTTTGCTATCTGACTGCAGACGCAGACCAATGTTATCATATGCTTATGCACATTCTTCCAGATATGAGGAAATAAAAGATTCAGTGTCGTATCCAAAGAAATCACCTTTAAGTGACAGTTAGCCATCTTCACATAAGTTACTCCTGCTTTATCCCCTGCAATATCATGTGTCGAAAATGTAAGCAGGAAGCCATAGCAAGGGCGTGCATCAACAGTCCAAGAGAAAGCTCGACCTAATTCACTCTACCAAAATAAAACTCAATCTGTGCTATGATCTATCAAATCTTCCATCAGAAAGATTAGGTTTTTGCTTCTAGCATAGCAACTTCAACACTTATTTTGCACCTTAATCTATGCTATGGCATATTGCAAGGCCACGAACCCAATGATAGAGCGAGCAAAATCATCGAATCTCTGGGTGTCGCGAGTTTTCAGCTTAGAATTTTGGTAGGCAGATCCTATGAACCAATTATGTCGTTGATATATTATATTCTTATACCAAAACAAACATTCCAATGGAAAATGACCAAATACCAACCCACATACGACAACTTCTGACATAATCATTAAGAAATCACCGCAAACTACAACCTGATCATAATATATTACCTAAATCTCATATTTCTTAAAAAAAGTGAATAAATCCACGAGGAATCGAACGAGAAACGGATGAAATGGAAATCCGATAACACAAAACGAAAGAGAATTCGGCCCGGAAAACGAAGGAATTACATGCTTTGGCGAGCTTGTAGGAATTAGCAGCTTTTTCGAGGAGATCGGCAGCATCCTCGTACTTAGAACCAAACAGACCCCAACCATTGAGCTTCTTGTCAGCATTCTTCTCGAATTCCTCCCCTCTCACCAGATGATCCCCCATTTCTCTCCCCCCACCCTCCGTCTCGTATTCACCCTCTTCCTCCTATAACGATGATCGGATTTTCCCTTCAGATACGTTCCCCTTTTCTTTCCCTCCAAAAAAGAGGAATTGTTTCGATGAATTTTCGCAGTGAAGAAGATAGAGACGACAATCGGTTGGGAGCGAAAAGTCGGGGAAGTTTCGCTGGAGAAAATTTTCAAGGCCTATTAGTGAGCCAGGCTTTATAACGTCACCTGTAACAGTTTTCGGACTGCCTATTTCAAAGTCAGGCCCATTAGGCCCACACGACGAGTTCAGGACGCATTATTAGGGTAAGGCATTTCAAGTCCGAGAACCCAAAACAGATATAATTTTTTTTTCTAAAATTAAAAAATAATTAAACCATATGAAAATAATTAAAAGAACCTAACAAAAAAAAACAAGATTGCATTGAGCAGATAATTCCATTATCAGTTCAAATGCTGACAAGAACCCATCTGAAACCAAATTGTATATATGCATGTAAACGTAAAAAGATTAATCTTTTGTTTGAGTATTTCGCATCAAACACCAGTTACTGAATCGATCACAGTTGACCCTTAACCTCTGATTTCTGCCGATAAGTGTAGCTTAAGAACATATTAAGTTGGTCTATGCAAAAACACCATGTTCTATGGTCCCAGAAAGCTCTGGGTTTATGACAATAACTGGTTTTTCTAACAAAATGTGTACCTTAGTTGGAAAACAACAACAACTGTTTCTTCAATCCTCTAACTTCTTCAGTATACTTGACTTATACGTAGTGATATCTGAATCCTCTGGTGAATCTGGAGCCGACTTGACAATAAAGAGTGCTCCTTTACTGCGCAGGAAGTTTGCAGCTTCATCTGCCAGCCATTAAGGAGTGTTGGAAATTTCGAAAATGGTCACACGATTCATATTTTCATTTTCATGAATTGCTGTAAAGTTCCTACATGCTGGATATAGCAATTTCTGAATACCCTTATGTCTCAATGGAATCTAAGATGGGTCGAATGGCAGAGAAAGATCCATGTGTGTGACCGAAAGAGAATAAGGCGTTTGAGATAGGCAAACGGAAAGATTGAACAAGAAAGACCTGATTTTGAGATGACGGCAAGAGCTTTTAGAGCTTCTTTCCTCGTCTTGTCGTCTTTAGCAGCCCCCAACATGTTGAGAAGCTCTTGAGCCCCTCCCATTTGCACAATCTTCATTCTTCTTCCATCTAAGAGATCAAACCAAATGGTTTCGATTCAGGTGCATGTGGCGAACAATTTCAAGTTACCATGAAAGCAAATCTCGATATTCGATCTTTTGTTTTTCATCAACCCATCTGCCAACCAGTATTGCATCGGAGATTTCCGTTTTCAAGAACCGAACTTGCACAACAACTATATAATAGTACACAATAACAGAGAGCAAAAACAAGAGAACCAGTTAAAACAATTCGATTATGACATGGTAGGAACAGGTTCCGAAGCAGAGAACTTTGAAAGATTCCGGGTTTACCGTCAACGGCAAAACGGGCAAGCCTAGAAGCTCCCATTCTCTTAAACAATGGATCCTTGACATGTAAAAGCGATATAGATTGCTGAAGCAAGTTATCTCCTGAGTTACCAAGTGACGAGAAAACTTACTAAGCAAAAGGATATTACAAGGAAAACAAATCCCTAGTCGCATTTTACAAACAATGTGCTTACCCATATAAGGGAAGATCTGATATCCAATAGCCGTTGCTGTCCCAGCAAAGATAAGTTTCAGCAACCACCCAGTTTTCCTCTCAACTTCCTCTTCAATGGTGATATCGTCTAATGATAAGAAGCAACAAAGCCAAAGCATCAAAACACCAATCAACGAGATCCAACCAAAATGTAAGGCCTTTTCTTCTTCATGAACTTCAATCCAGAGCATAAAATCCTCCCCAGATGAACTAATTCACTCGAAATGCCCAAAAATCAAAACTTTTGATCTGAGAAAGAAATCAAATCTTTCCTTTACCCGATCTTTGCCCATGACTGTACTCAAAGAGAAACAACGAAGTCGTCACACAAGCAACCAATCCAAGCAAATGAATACCAGCAAACTACACACTGAATCAGAGCTCGTGAGATTCATATTATCGATATATTTCATGAAAACCATATCCATATATCGCTCTATCCATCATCCTATATATTGGGCAAACATAGAACCCGAATCCAATTCCGAGTAGCTAAAGCTGATAAAAGACGATTCGAGAGAAATGAAAGAAGAAGAACGGACCTTTCTTCTTCAAAGACGAGAAATTGCGAGATCGAAGATACCCATATCTCCCTCTGCAACAGTACTGCAATTTCAACCATTGATCAATTCAGAGAAAGCCGAAGAATTTCAGAAATGAAAATTCAGAGGATGGCTTAATAGTGATTACATTGGCTAAGCGAGCAGCAAGAATCCGCATGACTTCTGCCTATCGGCTACTTTCGCTGGGAAATCGAAGACAAAAAACCTTGCTTGCCCTCGAGACCGACCCAGCTCTCGTTTGTTTACGTTTAATCTTTCTAAAGGTGAATTGTTGAATGTATCGATGTATTTACTGATTTGTTTGTAATTTTCTTGTATTGCGACCAAAGTTGAAATCTTTTTCATGGTAAATTGTTGAATGTATTTATGTATGTGTTGGAAATTGTTGGACCCTTTTTCTCATTTGAACGAAATAGTTTCACTTGATCACATACATTAAAAGATGCATCGAAATTTGTGGTTGCAAGAAATAAAATTGTTGAAGTGAGTTTCAGTAAACATGCAATGAAAATTCAACCATTAGCAAATCTGCTCAAAAGTATATGAACCGATGGGAAATGTCTCTGCGGTTTGTCGTACGAAGACAGAGGCTTCCTTCTGGCAAGTGAAAACTGCTTCTAGTTCTTCCTGTTTGAAACACGACCGTCAGAATTTGTAGAATCAAAGTGAGCATATAAGCTAAGCTACTTTGTTCTTCATGTTCATGTCTCAGTGGGTATGGAAGTCTGGTTTTGTTACAAGACCTGAATTGACTAACCTTGTGTTCTTTGTCGGGACGATCAGTCCTCGTTTCTCCAAGCTCTTGAACCGGTCCCTCGCAAGTGTGCAACATGCCTATCCCCATAGGAAGGGGGATTCTTTTAGTTTCTTCTTTCCGGGCCGAGAAATCAGAGAATGGAGGAGAAGTAACCTTGTGTTCTTTGTCGGGACGATCAGTCCTCGTTTCTCCAAGCTCTTGAACCGGTCCCTCGCAAGTGTGCAACATGCCTATCCCCATAGGAAGGGGGATTCTTTTAGTTTCTTCTTTCCGGGCCGAGAAATCAGAGAATGGAGGAGAAGAAAAAAAAAAGTATATACCTTTAGCTTGCGAAGTGATCCGGTGACTTCTTCGGATAACAGGACTTGAACTGGAGCAGGCTCAAATCTGAAACACAGATCCCCACATCGAAAATTGAAAGCATAAACCAACATAGAGAAATTGTACAAGGCATAAGGAGCTTTTTCATACTTGTGTTTTCCCAGCCGAGGAGGACGTGTCTTTAGTATTTCCTGCTTAGCAATGACTCGCCGTAGATGTCTCTTCTGTTTTTCCTCATCTTCGTTGGCTATTTCTTGTAAGATGCTCGGCAAACTACATAAAGGAAATAAGCGAAAACAGCCGTAAGAACATGTTCTTTTGTGCGTTTGTATATCCATGCACATCAGGATTGGAAATCATTAAACCTGTCAATTTCTTTCGATATCTCAGTTTTCTTCTTTTCCTCGGATTCCTTCTTTTGTTGTTCTTTTTGTCTACTTCGCTTGTTCAATTCCACACGGGTTACCCTCTTTGTTTTCAAAAGCCTGCAGCAGAATTATTTAGGAAACATGGGATCCGACTCTTTAACTGCGATATGTGCAAACAAACCGTAACTGTCATTATAAGAAGCCTCACCTTTTCTCTGACTCGGTTCCCTTGTTCTCATCATCTGCATCATCTTCCCCATCACTACCATTGTCCACTTCTAGAAAGTACCTCTGAGATAGCAACAGCAACAGCAACAACAGCAGCGAGTGGTCAGTTGAAAGTGTGAGTGGACATGTTCTTTAAGGTTGCAGAAAATCAACAACGCAATAAGTTAAATAATACAGTTGACTGATACTCACATCTTCTTCAGTAATTTTTTCTCCTTCAATGGTCAAAGGAACAGGCTCTGGCCCCAACTCCACCTTGTAGACTTTCTGCATTTCTTGAGCAACTGCTTCAGCCAACACATCCTGGAAAGGAATAATAAGTACAGAATGAGCACATTAACCAGTAAATAAGCTCGCTTACAAGAGCCATCGTTCATAGCATCCATCACCTGGTGACTGTCAAATGAAGGGTTGTATGAACATCCTGCAGGTTCAACTTCTACAGCAGGAGGAATAATCGAAGGTTTTGACGCCTGTATAACGTGTGATTCCAGTAAATAGGGTAAGCTTTCGTCTAAAACTAACTAATTTTTCAGCTACAAGAACAGAAGAAAAATCAAACAATAATGGCAAACCAGGGTTACCTTTCTAGAATAATTCTTTTGTTCCCCTGCAAGATGTTGCCAAAGAACTCTTTTTCAAAAATGATATCATGGAAGAGATATAAACAACGAATGTAAGAAACGATCTACAAATAGAAAGATTACACCAAACAGACCTTGGCCATCACCCCACAAGTCCGCCATTCCAGAATCGTCGCCATTAACCTACAACATAGGAAAACATTAAGAATATAAGCTTCACAAATCATTACAATAAAACCATCTTACTTGTTAGTGATCGATACCTAACCTTTTCAACTTCTTTGGGTGGTTCAGTTGCTTTGACAGATGTCTTCTCATTTTTCTTCGCCTTTGGCTTAGATGATGGCACTGCCTGAACAAAGGGGTTTTTCTGCAAAATGCTATCACATCGGAGAACCTTCACCCTATGTTTCTCAATCTTCCGCTTCACCGAAAGATCTGACATCATATGTAAAAAATAAAATACTTTTCATTTGCAAATCAATCTGTAGAAGCTCTAGAATACGAGAACCGAAGAAAGTTAACTTCTTTGGTATGTTGTTCAAATACGAGATAACCCACCCAAAACAAGGGATACTCTCCAACTTGTAGGAAGGAATGATTTGCTACTTTTATTTTGTCTTCACACAGAAAATGGCCAATCTGGCTCGATCATAAGTATAAGGTCAGTTCCAATCCAGTCCAATATTCCGATCTCTGCTCTAATCTATAAGCAACCAGATAACTTATATCCCTAAACACATATGCTTAGATTTTCCCAGTTCTTCCTCCAGAAACTTCAGAACTGAGACATGCATCTCAAGAGATGATAGCAAGACAAAATTCATACTTTACGAGACCAAATCTCTGAAAAGGTTGAATATTTTGCAGCTTGTAGGCACCCCAAAGAAAAATAAAGGAATCACAAACAACAATCGATTTGAACCACGAGAGAACTATAAGACCTAAACCCACACAACCCGAGAGAACCCAAAAACTAAAAGGATAAACGGAGACAGAAGAAACAAAAACCTCGGGATTTGTCGACGTGAAAGAGCTCCTCCGTGGGAGCAGCGGAGAGATTGCCGCCGGAGAGAGCGTCTTTGGTTGTTTTCTCGTAGAAATCCTCTATGTCCTCCGTGCTTATGTTTGCCCTCCATGCTTTCTTCCCTTTCCTTGAACTCTTCGCCCTCTTCCCCATCTCGCTCTCTCGGCGGCGCAGAGGGGTAAATCACACAATTGAACTTTTGGTGTCGTAACAATTTCTGCGATACATCAAAAAATTAGAAGGAATTAGCAAAGCCATCAAAGCCATCGCAGCACGAGGCATGAGCCTGGAGAAATTACAGACTGATCTCGATGCCATTAAGAGAGAGAAATAAATTCCTAGAACGTGAACTGAACCAAGTTTGATTCTATCGTCGTGATTGAGAACCATAGCAAGTCACAATTCAATTCCCAATCCGAACCCACAAGCGTGAAATCAAGTGTAGAGGGAGGAGGGAGACAAAGAGTATACCTGAACAACGGAGGAGACTCACACCTCACGGTGGTAGTCGATGGTAGAGGGTGAAGAAGCAGAGGGAAAAGACGCTGACAAAGGGAGGATGAGAAACAATGATAGATTAGGGCAAAATACAAATTAAAACTTAGCGGGTCTTAAGCCCATTGGGCCCATAGCCCAAAAACCCATATTTGTTATTCTTTTACGCGTTTTTATATAAAAGTATATACGATGTGCATGATTGGGGATCTTCTTTCTTTTAGAATATTATCACAATGGAAATAATAAAAAAATATATATTATAAATATATGTGCGTGTGATGTTTGATAGCAAAAACCGCCCCCGTGACCTAATTTTCGATGATTCTCTTGTCACATTCACGAGGAGTGGGGTAGAAGGAATGCTAAACCCTGACTACAACATATTATTTTTGTACATTCTTATAGAATAGGTGCAATATTATTTTGTCCTTTTGGTTCCCTGCGGATTCACGTATGGTCCATGCAAATCTTGGAGTTTAATTAAATAACCCGTCCTCGAACATCTACGTGACATGGACGGACAAGTTATCCGTATCATCGGTTACTAGACATCGTTGTTTATTAATAAGACATCAGGGAAGAAGCATAAAAAAAAGTCCATAGCATGTCATAAAATGGTGAAATCCTGCAGTTTTATTAACGTAAACTAGTTACCACCGAAATCCTTTTTTTTTCCGAATACATAGGAGATTGGACCAATGGGTAATTTACACGTACATATATATACTGGATTTTCATTTATTGTTTTTTTTTGAATCATGATTGTGTATATGCTTGTAAAAGATGTGACGGTAAAATGATACGCCGCGCGGATTATTTGTTCGGAAAAGGGAATATAATTCAATCGAGGAGAAGACAAAAGAGATATAGCTGTCGCAAACACGAGACCTTTACGTTTTTTTGTTGTAACTATATATATATATATATATATATATATATATATGTGTGTGTGTATATATATATTATTTGTTTTGAAAATAGGAACCTTTTTAACACAAAAAAAAGTTTTTTTTTTCTTTGGTAAAACGAGGACAACTTAGCTCTTTGTAGCCATTAGAATCAAATGTTGATAGTGACCCTTCTATTACTTTCATTAATTTTATATAGTCTCTTAAATATTTTACCCGATGTCAACATCACTCGGACTAGTTATATGGTTTTAATGATAACCATTTCTATTTTCATATAACCGAAAAAAAAATCCACAATCCATCTAGAGAAATTATGAATAATGCTAATACATATATATATACACACACACATAGACCGCATCCCATTACAGTAGTTTGCTTCAAGCTTTGGTGGCAGCATTGATGGTTCGTCATACAAAAGGCTTATATATATAATAAAAGAATATATGAATAGCACGACAGATGGTTTAACGTGCACGAGAGATTGAGGTTCTTGTATAGACGTATCGATTTTCTTTTGTTTTTTTCAACAAATTCTTGATTTTATTGTTTTCATACGAACCACGATGTGGCGAAGTAACTTCGTAATTCAATTTGGATGTTTTATATAGATCCCTTTTTCAAGCTTTTCGTATGCAAAACCCTTAAAACAAGTTACCGTGTGATACATTGATATATATATATATATATGTATATATATATATGTATATATATGTGTGTGTGTGTGTTAATGTCCGAAGGAGACGAGCTTGAGTTGCCAACACGAAACTTGTCTCTTTCTCTCTCCGCCTCAAAGGGGCAACAAAAGCATTTATTTCTCAACTTTAGAGATTAATAGAATTTTTTTTTGTTTTATTATATCGTCAAAATATGCATGTGAATGTACTTTCCCGGAGTGCAACTCACGTGAGTTTTGGCTTAGCAAGTCACAAGATCTTCAATATCATGTCTGAACTCTTACATTATCATAGATTACTCCTACAGCCTATCAGATTAATTAAAATTATCATCGTACAAATTAATTTATGTACATTAAATACGTGTCTGCAGTCCATCGGTACATATGCGTGTATAATATCATATCTATATATGTGGTACTTAAATGTTTATACATTTTCCTCTAGTCAAGCAACATGGGCGTTGAACCATGCAAGTTTTTTTTATAAAAAAAATCTAGCAAGATTTGTTAATTTAGTTACAGAGATAATTTCGAATAAGAAATATAAGGTAATCTAAATCTGCAAGTATTCGTCCGTTTTCACGTTTTTTGAATCTGTTCATTTGAGGCCTTGTATCCATACAACTATGATCATTTTGGAAGTACATTTTTCTCAAAAAGAAAAAAGAAATTGAAACTATTTGTTGTTGAGTTTAAAAAGTTGTACCGTATTGAATATATATAGGATTGTTGAAAAAAACGAGAGTGTGTATATATTGATTAGGACAATGAAAAGTCTATGAAGAATTTGGATTCGTGATATGTATATGTATATATATATATATATTATAATATGTATATAACAACGACAAAGTTTTTCGATTTAAAAAGTGGTTAAGTATGCAAGGGTCGATACATGTACACACTAACATATATATTTATTCTGGAATAAAATTAAACTGAATTAAAAATGTGGAACAAATCATCATTCATTCTGCGTCTCATGCGATCACTGTAGCATATGATATATGATTGGTGGCACGTACTACTACTTCAGATTTTTTGTTGCGTCATTTTTATTTAATATTTAATACTATGCTCAAATAAAAGTGGACAGCAAAACGCGTACACGTCAGCAAATAACAGCCATAATTATTTAGGACAAAATTTCCAAAATTAATATGATGTCTGATTCGATTGCTTTTCACTCGAAGATTAGTTGTCCATGATTTTCTTATTTTCACGTTATAGTGTTTTTTTTCTTCTTTTTGGTTTTAAGCAAAAAAAGAATCTCGCAGGACACATTTTTTCCAACATAATAAAACACGCGAATAAAAACAATAATATGCCATAGAAAATATTCCTAATCTCCGATTCTTTCTGGCGGCTAATATAAATCATATAAATCACATCGGTGAAAAAAGTTGGTCTATTATCTTAATCCGATTAATCGACTATTTTTAAATTTTTATTTCATAAAACACAAGTATCAATATATATATATATATATATTGGATATCTACCAGATACCAATATCGAGCATCCGACCGATTAAGTGATATCTAACGATATTTAAATCATTATCATATTTTTTTCAAGATAGTTATAATTAAATCATACTAACTCGATTCTTATATCAAATAGATCGATCGACCTACAAGGCAAATACATCACAAACATATGGGTATATAACAGTACACACACAAGTATATACTGTATCTATACAGACGTCTCTGCAACTACTCGGCATATATATATACACACACACTTAAAATATGATATCAAACCGTGTCAGATGAAATTCCTCTTCGGGTCGTATTTTCCACATACATTTTAGTGCGGGTTTACGTTATTTCCACGAAATATTTTATAACTCCATGAACCTTGTCCCAATTATTTTATGAATGAATAATTATTGGGATAATGGTCAATTCTAACAGTTCTATTATGAAAATAAAGAAAGTGATATACTTGATCATATATGTATATTGTATATATATGGGACACGATAGGTGGATATATGATACTAGTAAACAAAATATATAAATAACCAGCAAAAAAAAAGGTGACAAGTAAATGAAATAATTTCAAGAAATATGAAGACGACAAAATGATTGCTGATCTGTTGATTTTGTTCTTTTGTCCACACTATTTTCAAATATCTATTTATTTAATTTCCGGAGTATAATCAAATATCGATAAGTATTCAGTCTCACTCAATGGACAACAGGGGATTGAAGTGAGGTTCTCCGTATGTCAATTCTCGAACCGAGCCACAGTTTCGCACAAGTGGTTAATATTTACAAGGTGTTTTAATCACTAAGGAAAACAATGTTGAATTATAGTGTATATATTTTTTAGATAAAACATGTATACACACGCACACATATATATATATATATATATATACACACATACATATATATATATATATACACATATATATATATTTAAATGCAAATGTATAGATACTTCCGCTCCACGAGTTCAAGTGGGTCGAAACCGTGGTACCGAAGTATACATCCTATCACATGTCGATGTGTTTCATTCTAAGTACAATTATATATTTCATCGTTACAAACTTTTCACCTCAAAATTTTGCATCAGTATCTCATAATCCATCCGTGCGAAAATATTTCATTCGAATATTTGTGAACCATTTTTCTATCTGGTTACACGATAACCATGGCTATATATAAACATCCGGCGTTTTCTTTAAACGTGAGACTCTATCTAGACCAAAACTAGGTATACGATTTCGTTCGTAACATCGGCTGTTGCCCTATTTGATTGAGGATACATGGAGTTTTCGCCAAATATAGGGAAAACCCTAATTTCTTATTTTGTTTATAAATCGGTTTGATTGATGGTTAAGTATAAAGACAGACTGTAAAGGTGAAACAAGAGTATATGATATGTCTAGGAGGCCTAAAGAGGATCATAGACAAGGAGAGAAGGGTGTTGAAGGAGGGTTTGTGCATGTAGAGTTATTGTTTGGTTGTGATGATTAATCGGCACACATGTGAATTGGTGGGTACGTTTCTTTGTCCGTGTGGAATATAGACAATGCTGTATATATATGCTACCAAGCTTGGCGCCAAATGATCCATATACTTCAACTCGCGTAGTATATGTATATTTATGTGTATACATACGTTCATATATACTCTTTGCAGGTATGTCTTTGTATACATGTATACATCGTATATCTTGTCTTTCTTTCTCGGTGAAAACTAGAGGAAATGAATGCACCTCACTATTCCATATATATAAGAAGTTGCAGTATATAATATTTGGTTGTCTATGTGTTCGAAAAGACATGAATCCATACACCGGTGTGTGTATATAAATAAGTAAACATGTATTTTTGCCTATACAATATGCACGCACGCACACATACGTGTGTATATATACATACACACGCATATACACGGAATTTAGAGATGGAGAGAGAGAGAGAGAGACGGGACAAGGAGGTGATGGATATATAGGTGAAAGAGAGAGAGAGAAAGAGGAGAGTAGTATTCATAAAGATCCCCGTGAGGAGTGTTTGGAGGCATTCCAAAATCACAACTAACATTCTTTTGTTTGCTTTTATCCCCTCCTTTGCTTCTTTCGATGCTTCATCTCTCTCTCTCTCTCTCTCTCTCTCTCTCTCTCTCTGTCTCTCTCTCTCCTCCTACTTACATGATTTCTAACTCAGCTTCTTGCCATCACGAGCTCATGATTCCTTTCCTTTCTTTTTTAATTTTTTTTTAAAAATATATTGGGCCATTTGTTCTTAGTTAAAAATCATATGTAAAAGCTATAATATACGCAACTGGGTCAAAATATCTCTCTTTTTAACTCTTGCAAAAGTGAAATCTCGTTGATGTGAGATTGGTGATTACGTGTTTATCCAATGGTGTTGTCATGATTAATAATATACAGTATACTTACTATAACATCTTTCAATTTGAAAAACACTCCATAATATGTAGAAAAAGTGTTACATTCTATGAACTACAAGCCATGCAACTAAGCAAACCCATCAAATGATATTTGAGAACTACTTAGGTCTTTCTAAACATATATAGCAACATATAGATAGACAGTAAAAAAAAATGAACTGGACATCAATTGCGTATTCTCATTATTTTGGTAGGTAGAGACAGAGATAACATGTAAAATACATTTATTTTGGAAAAAAAAATAATATCCATTCGGATATTATATAGAATATATCGCATATTATAAGACATAGAGGCAATCAAGTAATTCACGAGATACAATTCGCAGTTGTCCGTATATTATATTTTGTAACGATCAAGAGACAATGGCAGTCATGTGAGGCGAAGAGCATCCTATAAGCGTTATATCTCAGATCTCTATATAGAGCCTCAAACACACACACACACACACACACATATATATATATATGTGTGTGTGTGTGAATATATATATACACACACACAAACGCATATACAATTCCTCTATACGAGTTAAGAATGGTTTCAAGGGAGCACAAGAGAGGTTCCTCTCTTCATGAGAAGATTCAATTGCTTCGCTCAATCACTCACTCTCATGCTGTAATTAATTTCTTTCTTCACCTCTTATAAAACCCTTCTCTTTTCTTTTCCTTTGTTTCTTCTTCCATTGAATTGGACCGATCAATTTGATAAACTCCTTTGTGTGCGTATATATACTTCCTTCCGGCTATATGTGTATATATATTGATCGTTACATAGTAACATACGTGCTTGATTTAGATCTTTATTTCTTTACATGATCAAATTTTTGCGTTTCTACTTTCTTTTTTACCAAGACAAAAGTTAGGTGCTCCTTGATTTTGATATTTCTTCTAATTTATCCTCCTGTCATTTGATTTTTTTTTAAATCGATGTGGGTGTTAAAGACATTTCGTCTAAGTAACCACTGGCCTTAATTTTGATATTTCTTCTAATTTATTTTTCCGTTTTTTCACTGATTTTTGCTGTAAGAAAAGTAAAAACAAAAATTATTAAATGGGAGAAAACATCAGTGATCTTAAGGATCGCATGCACAGTCATACATGTTTTTGGTCCTTGTTCTTTGTGTGTGTATGTAATGCCTTCCTTTTCTTCATCACTGCTAATTGTATACATGATTCTCCACTAAGCATAATCCATATATATATATATATGTAGTGGACGCAATTCGGGTTTTGAAACTAAAACTATGTTGCGAAATGAATGTTTGCGTATGGTAGGTGAACGAAACATCAATCATAGTGGATGCTTCCAAATATATCCAAGAACTTAAGCAGAAAGTAGAAAATATCAACGAAGAGATTGAAGCGGAGCAATCTTCTTCAAGCGGGCAAGCCGATCCATTTCCCATGGTATGATATACATATATATAATATACCCACAACTACCAAAGCATATAATAAAAAATGTAATTAATTATGATCATATATATATATATATATATATATATATATATATATTCGGTTCATCCATCGACGATGTTTCTTGATTTGAGCTTTACTTTGCAGGTTACAGTAGAAACCCTAGAAAAGGGTTTCATGATAAATGTATTCTCAGAAAAGAATCAGCAGGGATTGCTCGTCTCCGTCAAACCCTAACTTCGGGTGGCTCCTGTTGACTCCGGGTTCTGGTGGATCATTCTTCTCCGTGCCTACACGAAATCCACCGGGGATTTGTCCCTGGCCGAGACACCAGAATGTCAAAAGGGAATGAGACTCATACTATCTCTGTGTCTGTCAGAAGGGTTTGATACCTTCCCGACATTGCTCTGCGCCGATGGATGCTGCATGATCGATCGAAGAATGGTAAAAAAACCTTCATTTCCTTGCATATAATCATATATCGTTTCGTTGAGGGTTCGATTCTGACATCGAATGCAAACTTTCTCCTTCTCTCTTTTACACAGGGTGTGTACGGATACCCGATCGAGATCCAAGCCCTCTTCTTCATGGCCCTACGTGCAGCACTGTCCATGCTCAAACACGATACCGAGGGCAACGAATTCATGGAGCGAATCGTGAAAAGCCCCCACGCGCTCAGCTTCCACATGCGAAGCTACTTCTGGCTGGATTTCCAGCAGTTGAACGACATATACCGGTACAAGACAGAGGAATACTCACACACGAGAACTTCACGGTTTAATATATATATATATATATATATATTATCATTTTTCTAACTATCGTTTGTTTGTTTGTTTGTTTGTTTTTTCTATTAATTTGTAGGTTAAATTTTTGTTTCCAAAATCAAATGTTTGTAAGATATAATCAATGAAAATCAATTGTATGTTTCCCCAAATAGTCATTAAGTACTTGAAAATTACCCTTATTAATTTCATTGGCAGTGCAAATGTACGTAGAATCAAGTTCCTATGTGCACAGCATTCATAAAATTTTCACAAGTGAATATAAAAGATCTACCTAAAGATCCATTATTATTTTACGCAGCCAGAAACACACGTGTGTGTATACAGCAATGGACCCGTTAGATTAATGACCTAAGATTCAATTTTAGTATACACAATAATAAAATATATATGATGAAAAAAATTTTACTTTAGTTACGGCTCTTGTACGATGCATTATAAGAAGTTGGTGCCCATGGTAAAATCACATTGTGTACACATGCACACACGTAACTGTGACGTCAAATTATAGCCGTTGAGATGCTTCAGAAATACAAAAAGCCATCACGAAAACCGCATAGAAGAAGACACGGGAAAGTGTTTCACGTGAGCAAAACCATTCCAGAAAGCCTGGAAAGATCGATGCATGAACAAGACAGACATCTGCACCATGTCCTGAATCCTGATCCACCATCTGTCTCCCGCACGACACTTAGTTCGATACGATACTGTAATCAACACTTATCCTAATGTCGGTACAACTCCACGAGCCAACCCGGAAACGGATCCTCTAAAAATTGAACAGAATTAAATTGAAACTTATAATATCAGTTCTGCTAAAAGCAGTTGTCAGGTTTGTTACTCTTTGCGGCCTAAGCCTAACTAGCCTCGTATAGACTATTTGGCCCGGGACCAATTATGCTCCCCTCTCTAATCTGAGAGGTTACCTCTCCAGCTCAACACCGAGAGCCAGCCATTTACCCAAGTTGGGTCAAATAATATTGAAAAAAAAACTGCGAAAATGAAATTAAAAAAAAAAACAAAAGAAAAAAGAACGAAACAATTTTATTGCTACAAAATAACTACAAAATAATTAAAGAAAAAAATAACATATGATAGAAATAAATAAATCAAGATATAATTGACCCAATTATCATTACTTGTTAATTGAATTTATATCTTTAATTTCTCTCAATAATCTTCATAATCATTTCTAGTCAATTTTAATCTTCTTAAATATATATTTGTTTCACCAAATAACTGCATGCGTCGTAAGTCTAGCCCCCCCGGAGTCCCTGCCGCACCAACCGCACCGTCCAGCAGTCAACTCCTTGATAAACTCCACGGTAAGTTTAGGGTTCCTCTCGACGAAAGAATCGAACTCGGACAAAACAGCAATATCCTTAATGTTCTTTTTGACAAAATCCAACGCCGATTTGTTGAGAGCGTCATCCGACAACACGGAAGAGAGCTCGAGCATGTCGAGAGCACTTGACGAATTTAGGTTCGATATGAGGTGGTTCCGGCATACGTCCTGAAGATACGGGATATCATACTTGTCCGCAGCTAGATAGAGAGGGCGAACGTGAAGTTTCAGCTTGTCAGCAGTCAAGGAGCCCTTGTACAGAAACTCAAGAAGAGCCTCTAACTCTTTGTGCTTGAGCTCAGAGAGAGTGATCGTCTCGTCTCTCGAAGTCTTGCATTCGTCTGCTTCCAACATAACCCTAAACACCTTCGATCTAGCCGACTATATAATATACAACAAACCCAAAAAACACATGTCAGTTCATGCAAAACATAAATCAAGATAAGCAAACCTAAACCGAATAGCAAACAATAATACAATAAGAACCCTCATTACTTAATCCCAAATAACACAGTGATATATATATATATCAACCGCACAGTGGACCAACCGATGGTTATAGAAGATACCAGGAAAATTTTGTGGGCATTGACGATCGTGCCGTCTCCGGACTTGAGCTTGATATCGACGTGCCTATTTTCCTGGAAGGCCTCGAACAAGGCACCAAAGAAAACGTCAAAGTTAGACGCTGCCGCCATTTCGTACTCTGCAAAGAAAAGGGAAAAGGTTTTCTCAGAAAATCGACAGGCATTTTCTCGACAAGCAAACGGAGAAACGAAGCAAAGACTGAGGATAGAGAACCCCAGAATAATATCTCTGTCAGTAGATGATCTGAATTTGCTTGATTTACAGGCAAGCTGCTACGTACCCAATATTAATAGAGAGGATGTATGGTCAAATAGTCTTCTTGCATTCACTACTTAAGGAAAAAAAAACCCTAAGAATCCGAGGAGTTCTACAGAAACAGTTGACAATCTAAATTTGAATTTAATTTCAAATTAAAAAAGATTGGAAAATGAACGACGACTAAATTTCTTCGGAATTTAATAGTTTTATAAGAATACAAATGAAAATCAAATCAAATCAAATCAAATCAAAACATTATAATTTTATAAAAATAAAACAACTAAATCCGAAATGAAAGTCAAATATGAACGAAACCCCGAAATAGCAGCCCCCCCCCCCCCTCAAATGTTGGTCTGTTCAGCCATTTTTCTAGAACTGGAAGAAGAAAACGGAGAGAATTTCAGAAAAACAAAAGCGATGTTGCCCTTGAGAAAACGGAGAGAATATATATATACATATATATGTATCAACCGCACAATGGGCCAACCAATGTTGCCATTTTCTACACTGCAAACAAAAGCGAAAAGATTGTCAGAAAATCGACCGGCGTTTTCTCAACAAGCAAAGGGACTAATGAAGCAAAAGCAAAGGATATTCTGAATTTGTTTGATTTATTGGCATTACAAAGAACTGCGGGTATAACAGGTCTTTCCCAATATCCGTGACGATCTTACAAATGGGCCTGAATGGTCTCATTAAGGCCCATTAGAGCCACCTCACAGAGAGTCGGTATCTTGTTACAATTACAAGCAACGACCCATAACTATTTGATCAGATCGTGATTTTTTTTATATATATTTTGGAAAATTGTTAAAAATGACCATTTTTTTTATACTCACTCGTGCATCGTCATTAGGGTTAATTCTGTTGCGGTCAGTGTTGGAATTCCGTAATTATAAAAAATGTGTTTCACCACACCGACCAACAATATATTAATTTTTTTTTTTGTTATTGAATATATTAATGTCAATGTAACACCTCATATATATATTTCTGGTATCACTTAAAAGAAGCCTGCATGATATCCACGGCAAGGCCAGGGCTCCTCTCGACAAACTCCTTGAACTCGGCGGAAAACGCAATCTCCCTCGCATGGCCGACGGCGAAATCCATCGACGTTCTGCGGAGAGAGCCGTCCGAAAAGACGCCGGAGAGTTCGAGAACGTCGAGGGCATTCGAGGAATTCAGGTTGGATATGAGGTGGGTCCTGCACACGTCTTGCAGATACGGAATATCGTATTTGTACGAGGAGAGATAGAGAAAGCGGACGTGAAGCTTAAGCTTGTCATCGGGCAAGGAGCCGCAGAGATATTCGATAAAAGCCTCTAGTTCTTGGCGGGCCTTGAACAAAGGACCGCAGAAAACGTCAAAGTCTGTCTCGCTCGCCATTTTTTTTTATATATTCTGTACAAAGAAAACCGACAAGTTTCTCAGAAAATGGACTTGGTCTTTCGCAGCAAGCAAAGAGTAAATAAATAAGCAAAAACAATGGATACAGAACCCTAAAACAAGCTATCGGTTTTCGCTGTCGGAAGATAATCCGAATTTGCTGGATTTATGGGGAAGTGCTACTTACCCAATATTAATGGAGAAGATGTACGGTCAAATAGCCTCTCTGCATTTACTTTTTTTTTTTTTGGGAAAACGTTGGAAAATGAAGAATCCGAGGAGTTTTACGGAAAAGTTCGACGTGTTTTGACAAAAGAGTTTTAGCGTATTGAAGTTACCAATTGTTTTTAGACATTCTGAATTTGAGTTTACTACGAAAATAATAGGAAAATGAATCATCATAACTAAATTTCTTTGAATTTTAATGTTTTTTAAAAAATACAAATAAAAATTGAATCGAACCAAGACCGGTTGTCAATACCAAATGATTGTAAGTTTGTAAAAATAAAATAACAAAATCCGACAAAAAAAAAAGACAAATATAAATGGAACCCTAGAACAGCAGAGCCCCTTATTACGATTTAGAAACAAAGGGTTGTACTTGGAACTAAAAACTGTTGTCCAATCGTGACGGTTTCAAAAATGGGCCTGAAATGGCCGTATTGGGCCCAGTAATTGTTAGGCCTCATGTTAAGAATAAAAGGATTAAAGTGCAATTTCAAAAAGATACATTAGGGTTTAATTTCGTATAATCGAGAAAGATCACAATCGCAATATCTAAGAGAAACAATATCCCTTATTTCTCACTTCACTCAAGAACGCCTTCATAATCTCCACGGCAAGATTAGGGCTCCTATTCACAAATCCCTTGAACCTTTCCGAAAACACAATCTCCTTCATATGCCTGATTACGAAATCGGAGGAAGCGTCACGGAGGGCTTTGTCCGAGAAAACTTCGGAGAGCTCGAGAGCGTCGAGAGCGTTTGACGATTCAAGAGACGATATGAGGTGGTTTCTGCACACCTCCTGCAGGTACGGAACTTCGTATTTATCCGCGGCGAGATATAGCGAACGGACGTGCTGCTTCAGCTTCGAAGGAGGCACGTATATCCCCTGTACATGAATTCGAGAAAAGCCTTCAGCTCTTTCTGAGTCAGCTCAGAGAGGGTGATGATCTCGTCTTTTGGAGCCTTGCATTCTTCCAACATGTCCCTAAACACCTTCGATCTCGCCGCCTACAGAACATAGCACAGTCTCATGAATTAGATATTTGCCGTTTTAGGACAGTGAAAAGACATCTATATCTGTTCTTGTTTCATCAATAAATGCGACTCATCGACCATACAAATGTTTTTTTTCTTTTATTACAAGAAAAATGACGAGTTTCCACTTAGAAGATACCAGAACTAGCTTGTGGGCGTGGACGGGGTCTTCATCGTCTCCCGGCTTGAGCCTGATATCGGCGTGCCACTGTTCTTTGAAGGCCTCGAACAATGCCCTTGAGAAAACGCTCATGTTGGTCTGTTCAGCCATTTTTCTAGAACTGGAAGAAGAAAACGGAGAGAATTTCAGAAAAACAAAAGCGATGTTGCCCTTGAGAAAACGGAGAGAATATATATATACATATATATGTATCAACCGCACAATGGGCCAACCAATGTTGCCATTTTCTACACTGCAAACAAAAGCGAAAAGATTGTCAGAAAATCGACCGGCGTTTTCTCAACAAGCAAAGGGACTAATGAAGCAAAAGCAAAGGATATTCTGAATTTGTTTGATTTATTGGCAAGCTGCTACTTCATGGAGAAGATGTACGGTCATATAGTCTTTCTGCATTTACTTTTTATTTATTTTTTGGTTGGGGGAAAACATTGGAAATGAAGTCGTCCAATGGATGAATTAACCTCTTATTTACTACTCCCTCAGTTTAGTTTTATTTGACGTTTTAACTTTTAGCACACATATTATTGTATCTAAAATACCCTTTTTAATTATCACAACTTTTTCTCTCGCACAATGTAATTTCCATTGATTTTGGGAAAAGTATAAAAAAATACATAAAAAATACAAAAACGTCATTTATTTTAAAACAAACAATTGACTCCAAAACATCATTTAAAACTAAACAGGAGTAGTATATAGGGGCACAACAGACGAATTAGTTACAAAGAAAGAACAATATCCTGTGATGATTTACAAATGGGCCTGGATGGACACGTTAGGGCCCATCAAGTGTCTCCTCGCGTGTAATAAAAGTAGATTATGGGCCTACGGCCCATATTATATGATTTACAATAGTATCTTTATAATATCTTGAAACTTTTGTAATTGTCAGCATCTCTTTGTTGAGTTTTTTTATAGTGTGTTTAGTTGTAGTTGACAAAAAATTTAATTGATGTCTTATTTCTCAAATAAATCTTAAAAAAAAACATACAAGTTATTATAAATTAGTTTGCGAGGACTATATATTTGATTTTATTTTCTTAAAATAAATCTTTAAATTTACTGATAACAAATAAATTTTTATTCCATCATAATTATAATGTTCTAATAATCATCGCCATAAATTCCGGATCCATACCCACGGCACCGACTGCACGTACTATTACTGGTAAGATTTAAAGAAGCCTGCATGATCTTCACAGCAAGGTTAGGGTTTCTCCCAACAAACGCATTGAACTGAGCTGACAAAGCAATCTCCTTCACATTCTTGGCAGCAAAACCTAACGCAGCATTCTGGAGATAGATGTCCGGGAAAATGCAAGAAAGCTCGAGAACTTCGAGAACGTTCGACAAATCCAGTGACGATACGAGGTGGTTACTGCAAACATCTTCAAGATAGGGGACATCGTATTTGTCCGAAGCAAGATAGAGCGAGCGAACATGCTGCTTCATCTTGTCATGAGGCAAGGAGCCCTTGTACATGAATTCAATAAAAGCCTCTAACTCTTCGTGCTTCAGCTCAGATAGAGTGACGGTCTCCTCGTTCGAGGTCTTGCATTCATCTGGTTCCAACATATCCCTAAACACCCTCGATCTCGTCGACTGAATAACGTAAACAAAACGTTCATGACAAAGAAAAGAGATTTACGACCGACCGTATAGTATACGTTTATTGTAAGAAGAAGATACCAGAATTAGTTTGTGGGCGTTGACGACATGGCCGTCTCCAGACTTGAGCCGTACATCGGCGTGCCGCCCTTCTTTGTACGCATTGAACAATGCATCGGGGAAAAAGCCGAAGCTAGCTTGAGTCGCCATTTTCCTACACTGCAAAGCAAAGAGAAAAGATTCTCAGAAAATCGACCTGCATTTTCTCAGAAAGCGAACAGAGCAATGAATCAAAAAACAAAGGACAGCAAAATTACCTCGTTTTCTCTGCCTCGAGTGCATGGGTTTGCTTGATTTATAGGCTAGTGTTTTTGCATCTACTTTTTTTTTTTTTTTTTTTTTTTAAAAACTTGGAAATGACAAGTCCATATGAATTATTCTCAAATTTTCAATGGTATTAATGTGAACTTTGGAAAACTTTGGAAAACCATATATAGAAACCGTGCAATAATCGTTTCCCGAGGAGTTGGAGGAATGTAATTTCTTTGGACATCGTTTTTACAAACTATATCATTCTTACACGTAACAACTATACGATCACACAGTAAAAAAAAACAGTAACGAATTTTGAAATTTTCTCTACATGTCCGTTAATTTCTCACTGATTACATCTTTTGTTCTTCGTATCCATCAAGAACGCCCTCGTGATTTGCACGCACAGATGATTGTTCTTGTGAGAAAAAGCCTCGTACTTGGCCGAGAAAACAACATCGTCCATGTTCTTCACTACGAATCCGAGAGCGGTTTCCTTCAACCTCTTGTTCAGACAAAGATCCGAGACGCTGAGAACGTCAAGAACATTGGAAATATCTAAGGACCACAACATGTGTTGTTCACAGAACTCTTGCAGGTACGGAATCATGTACTTGTCGGCTGCGATAAACAGTGCGTAGACGTGTTTCTGTAACTTGTCTTGAGGCAATGTCCCATTGTACAGGAACTCCAATAGGGTTTGGAGTTCCTCGGAGTTCAGTTCTTGGAGAGTTATGGAGTCTTCAGGGGCGGTTTTGCATGGGTCTGAATCTAGAATGTTCTTGAAGATCTCTGACCTTGAAGCCTATACATATAACATGGAATATATAAGGATAAAAAACAGAAGTTGCTTGCATCGCAAGGTATCGATCGGTTCTCGTTGATTACCAGCAAGGCTCTGTGAGCAGGAATATCGGTATGAAGCTGTTGTTGGAAAGCCGAGGAGAAATTGCTCAAGAACCTTATCTTCTTGTTCAACCCTTCCTCTGTTTCTTTCATGCGTTTCATCCATTTGATCACATTCCCCAACGGCTGAGGCTGATATTGATAATATATAAGAAAACTATAATGATATCTATAACAGATAACTAAATTTTCAAAGGATTGATCGTATACACAGATAATTAAGATTGCGTATATACGGAGCTTGCCTCGCAAGAGATCAAAGGAGAAGAAAGAGAAGGGCCATAATTAAGGTTGGACTTATCGATTGGTTTCACGTCTTCATTGGAGTTTTCGAGCTTGTTCAAGAGCATGATTATGCTTCTGGCCCCTTCGTAGCACGACCCGCATATCGTATTCCTCGGCGGCCTCAAAATGGCCGGCATTTTTGTGCAGATTGAGCAATCCATTACAGTCTTTCCGGTCTTCTCTCTTTGTCTCCTCTGCAATGATTCCAATGACGACGATGATGATGATGATGATGATGATGAAGCAGAATAAGAAGAAGAAGAAGAAGAAGTGGAGGAGCAGTTTCTTCCTTTGAACTCAAGTCGTGAATTATTCTTCAAGGGTTGGTCGGATGGTTCCATTATGCAAACTTATTTTTATTTAACATGAATAATCTATTTGGATACATACCCTTATAATATGAGCTTGCAATGATTGTTCCCTAAGGAGTTTTGTCGTATGAAAAAAGAAAATGAAATGATTAGTCGTTATAACGAATCTTGAGGAGTTGTATAGTTGGACGTGCATATGCTTGGGAACCTTCATCCACAATTAATCAATATATATATATATATATATATGGATAACTTATTCTACTTTTTTTTTCCTTTACATTTATTTGTTTATTGCATGCTTTGCTCATGATTTCATTGCATGTTTTTTTTCCCTTTTGGTTCTACTTAGTATATTTAAAAAAAAAACATGAATGCAAGTAAATTCAAATATTTCGTGAAAAAAGTAGAGAGTATAATTAATTAGAGAGGATCTTTTATGTAATAATGAGACATGATAACATCAAAAGCTAAATGGCTCAAAGGTAGGAATAAGAAAATGACTGTCCAACCTTTCAACAGCAAATATGCTTAGTGCACAGTGTTGATTTTTGGGTTGGTTTCATAATTCATTTTTTTTTATTTTAAAAAAATACCTATTCCTTTCCGTGTTTTAGATTTTGAATTGAATTCATTTGGCATTTGATTTTTATTGAAAACATTCATTTTTAAAATATTTTTATTCAATTTTTATGTTACTTTTATATTTGATTTCGTTATTTAAAATATATTGAGTAAACAGAAACCAAAATATGAAAATAAAAGGGTTGAAGTTTCGAAGAGCCAACCTGTCTGTTTGATGAAGGAAAAGGCATATGTTTTCAATTATACCCTCATGGTTTAAACTATTTGCTTATGATGACCCCATAGTTTGAATTTATTCCAAAAACGTCAACAAACGTTTTACAAGATTCATCCGTACACCAATCCGTGTAAGAAACATCAAAATCCATCTCATTTTTATACTTGTATCATATATTTTAACAGAATACAACAACTTTTCTGCAGGTATTTCGTAAATTTGGACTTGGGTTCTTATTGTGGAGGAGAGTTTGGGACACATTTTTCTCAAATATTCTACAAATTCTTATAATTTCAAAAATTATATTACAAGGATCGGTAAGCTTAGGTGAGCATATTTTTTAAAATTCAGTTTCAGTTTGTCTATTTCCGGTATATTTTTTTCAGTTTTATAAAAAATATATATATATCCATTCCTTTACTATTTCATTATTATTCCGTTGTTAAAAATTCCGGTTTGATTAAATTTGATTGTAATTAAAAATATATTTCTTTTTATCTTATTGTTTTGTCTTTTTCATATATTGTAAATCGGTTAATTTGGTTTTAAAAAAAATGTTATTAGGCTGGGTTACCAATCCAAATGAAATATTTCCCTTTGATTGGGCTTGATATTGATAATTTATTGAGTGGGCTTTTAGCGACGCTCCCAAAAAAAAGGGGAAAGAGATTAAAAGGCCCATCTCTCATTATCAACCGTACATGCATGCGTCATTATTTACGTCATAATAATAATAATGGGTTCAAAATTTAAAAACTTTCCATTTATTTATCGGATGCATAAAGGAGCACAGAGTCCATTTTTTTTCATCATTATCATAGGGACTGCACCATTTAATAAAAAAGAGCTTAAGGTTTCTCATGGCTCGGCGGCTCCTCTCGGCCGCTCCTCTCGTAGTAATGGTAGGCGGCGGCTCCTGATAGCACTGCCAGTGTCACTGCTTGTGCATGCATCCTGCCCCAAACCCAAGATTTATTTTTTATACAAATCAGATTCCACCTTGAAATAAACTAAATTCGAATCGAACCCAAAATGGGTATAGGTATATATACCTTGCATGTATAAGTCTGAGGCTGGGTTTGAGTGGAGCTGCAGTGGTACGTGCATAAGCCAATGATCCTCCGAGTACCGATGCCCACATTGCTCCTGTTACCAACATTATATATTTTTTATTAATTCACGCAACAAACTAAACAGAGATTTTTACCATATCCATATGATAATGTTTTGATCCATCAACACACATTACACAATAAATAAGTCTAATATGAAGTAATGTTGCTATAATGAATCTGAGATATAGTATCCAAGATACAGAACGGAAAACAACTCCATTGATACGATTGGTTGACAGACAAAATAGATATTCAAATTTGGGTGGTTAAGTAGTGAGAAGACATGCAAATCATACTCTTATCCTACGTTTAAATCCAAGAGTGGAGAAAAACATTCATCGGGAATTTTTCGGTGTTCTGGTAGATGTAGTAGGTCAAAAATCCGGTGAACTTTCGGATTATAAAAAAAAAGATAGATGCCCATATTAATTGGTTCTGAGTATATGTGTATGTGTATATATATATATATATGTGTATGCAGCTCTCATTGTGAAGGATAAAAGTTAATATACTGTTGATGATAATCTAAAAGGAGATAACATACCAACACTAGCAAGCTTGTGCTTTGAAACCCAAGATTGGACGGCCTCCATTTTCACTCTCCTTCTTCTTCTTCTCTATTGAATCTTGCTCTGAGATTTTGTGGGTCTCGACGGATGTGTGTATATATATACACAAATGGATATGACTGTGTAGTCAGAGAGAGGGCAGTGATGGCCCACGGGATTTGCATATATATGATTTTGGGTGAAAAAATGTAAACAAGTGGCCGAGAGAGTATCTGGTTTTCAGGAGAATCATGAAATTGGATGGTCCGACTTTTGACAAGAATGGGTTTTGTGGGTTTTTTTTTGCTGTGTGCGTGCGCATCGAAACCAGGAGCCACACCACCGCTCGCTTTTCCCTTTTCTTGAAACGTTTCATTGTATTTGTACGTTCTTCTTCTCCTTAGCTTTTCACATGTTTCATAAATTAATTAAATAATAAGAAAAGGTAAATCTAGCTTTCCAAAAGGAAAAAAAATGAGTTAAAGAAGGAATCCGGTGGGTTTTCTTCTTGAATTTGTGTAGATCTTCTTTTTCCGCGGTTGTCAATTTGTGGATATGTTTTTTATAAAATAATTACATGCTTTCGTACGGTAAATATTTCTCTCTTATCTTTATACATTTGAATCAATTCAAGATTTTTATACTTATACGAATTTCGACGTATTTTTTTTTGTTTAAATTCGATCGTATATTATTTTTCCGTATTTTCATTATTTTTTGTAACACCTCCAACAAATAATGATATGCTTGATTGTAATGCATCAGTCAATTATGTTCATTTATTAAATCATCGCCGCGTTATTAGATTAGTAGTATTATTAATCATTAACCTCGATTAGATTAATCTATATGCGATGATAATAAAAAAAATGCAAATAAAGAAACAAGTTCATCGAACACGATGTATTTAATGGTTCATTGAATCCCAAGTTTAGGGTGTACTATAAATCAAATTAATAAATAAATCTTGAATCTTGTATGTTACTTTTATGTCGAAGCTGTAATTGCGCAAGAATCAGACCTCACCACGAACTCACGCAAAACAGAAACTCTCTATTGTTTCTCTCGAAGAACAGGAAAAAAGCCAGAGATCGAAGAACAGAATCTAAAAGACGCAAGAGATTTAACGAGTTCAGTACGATCAGTGTAATCGTACCTACGTCTCGAAAGGAAGAGAGAGGTTCTTATTGATCTTGGGATTACAGATTACAGAAAGAACTAGCTTTTTCTTCTGGAAGCTAACAACCCAATATATAGCAGACGGAGAAGAAGAAGACGCTGCCTTTTTCCCAAACAGATTAAACCCTTGGTTTGAAACCAAGTCTTCAGCTATTATGAAGTCTCTGTTTTACCCAGAAGGTTTCATGGTTTCAGGCATTTATTCTACAAATCTCCACCTTGCCTGAGAATCATGGCTCTGTCACCAACACTTCGAGCCATCCTCTCTCTCTCTCCCTTATTTACAGATGTTACGTATCTGTAAGTTTGAGCAAGTCCAGCAGTTTACTAAGCTTACCCACCGAGATTGTCTTTGTCAGCAAATCAGCAGGGTTTTCCTCAGTATGAATCTTTTTCACTTGAATTGATCCCTGAGCAATAATATCCCGGATGAAGTGGAGTCTAACGTCGATATGTTTCGTACGTTCATGATGAACGCTATTCCGTGATAAGTCCAATGCACTTTGCGAGTCACACATGACTTCAACTGGTTCTTCTTCGAAACCAAGTTCCTTCATCAGCCCTTTTAGCCATAGACTCTCCTTCACAGCCTCGGTTAATGCCATATACTCTGCTTCGGTCGTTGAAAGCGCTACAACACTCTGCAAGCTTGATTTCCAGCTAACTACATTGCCTCCTACTGTGAAGACAAAACCTGTTACTGATCTTCTTTTATCAAGGTCAGCTGCAAAATCAGAATCACAGTAGCCAACCACTTTCATAGATACTGGCTTTGTATATCTCAGACCATAACCAGTGGTTCCTCTTATGTAGCGCAGAACCCATTTCACTGCTTCCCAGTGCTCCTTTTCAGGTTTTCCCATGAATCGACTGATGACTCCAACAGGGAATGCAAGGTCTGGCCTTGTGCCAATCATGGAATACATCACACTCCCTACAGCATTAGCATACGGAATTGAATCAGCAAACTTCTGATCAAACTCCTCTGGTTTCTTGGAAGAGCACAGTCTGAAATGTGAGCCAAGAGGTGTCTGAACTGGTTTCGAATCTTCCATGTTGAATGTAGCCAATACCTTCTCTAAGTAGTCACTCTGAGTCAGAATTAACGACCCACCAGATCTATCTCTTGTTATAGTTATACCAAGCATTCTTCTTGCGGGTCCTAAATCTTTCATTTCGAACTCAGTCCCCAAATTCTGTTTCAATCTCAGCAGCTCTATCTTGTCTTTTCCAGCAATTAACATGTCATCGACATACACCATTAGATACATCATGGCACCGCACTTATCCTTCTTGAAGTAGACACACGGGTCAAAACAGGACCTGGTGAAGCCTTGCATTTGAACAAACTCGTCGAACCTTATGTTCCAACGTCTCGGTGACTGTTTTAAGCCATAAAGTGACCTTTTCAGCAAGCAAACTTTATGTTCTTCTCCAGGTTTCAAGAAGCCTTCGGGTTGCTCCATGTATATTTGCTCCTCTAATGTGCCATTCAAGAAAGCTGTCTTAACATCTAACTGATCAAGCTCGAGATTTTGGGACACTACTATTGATAGCAGCACACGGATAGACACGTGTTTTACCACAGGGGAGAAGATCTCGGTGTAGTCCACTCCCTCAATCTGAGAGAACCCTTTTGCTACTAATCTTGCCTTGAATCTTGGTTTTTCCACACCTGGTATCCCTGGTTTAAGTTTGAATACCCATTTGCAACCTATGATCCTTTTTTCTTTTGGCGGAGCTGTCAGGATCCATGTCTCATTCTTGTGCAGAGATTCCATTTCTTCCTTCATAGCTTGTTCCCATTTTCTCCAATCTTTGTGAGCTTTAGCTTCCCTGTAGTTCTTAGGTTCAGAAATCTCGACGGTTTCAGATACTGAGAATGCAAATGCGGCTGAGTCATCCTCTCTGAATCGGGCTGGAGGCTTGATCTGTCGCTTTTCTCTGTCTCGTACTAGAACATAGTCTATCAATCTTTGCATTTCTTCCTCTGGAGGACTGCCTCCTGATTCGTGTATCTTTCTTATTTCCTCATCTGATGGACTTGGTTCAGTCTCTTTCTTTGGCGTTTCTGGCTTTTCTGAGTTCTTGGTAACTCCACCTCGCTCCCATGTTCCGTCGGTTTTCTCATTTTCCAGTAAAATGGGCAGTTGTCCTGTCTTGCTGACATTAGTGTCTTGTGAGGAAGTCTGTTTTGATTCTATTTTGTTTAAGTCCTTAAACACGACTTCCTCATCAAACTTGATGTGTCGACTTACCACTATCTTGTCTTCATCAGGATACCAGATTTTATATCCTTTTGTTCCTGATGGATATCCCACAAAAATTCCCCTTTTTGCTCGTGGTAGCAGCTTTCCTTGGTCTCCATGTACATAGGCTATGCAACCAAAACGTCTTAGATGACTATAACTTGTGTCTCTCCCGGACCATACCTCATTTGGCACTTTGAAGTCTAATGCAGTGGATGGAGCTCTATTTATTACATGAACTGCAGCAAATGCTGCTTCTGCCCAAAATTGTTGAGGCAGACCAGATTCTGACAGAAAGCATCTCACTTTTTCCATGATAGTGCGATTCATCCTTTCTGCGACTCCATTTTGTTGCGGAGTATATGCACATGTCTTGTGTCTCAGAATCCCCTGTGTTCTGCAATGATCATCGAATTTTCTGTTGCAAAACTCGAGTCCATTATCAGTTCGCAAGACCTTGAGTTTCCTCTCTGTTTGTCTTTCCGCCAATATTTTCCAATCTAGGAACCTGTCATAAGCTTCATCTTTTGATCTCAAGAAATATATCCATACCTTTCTGGAGTGGTCATCCACAAAAGTCATGAAGTACTTGTACCCTGACAGTGATGGAGTTGTAGAAACTGATCCCCACAGATCTGAATGTACGTAGTCCAATACTCCTTTTGAGGTGTGTTGTCCTGTCCCAAACACTAGTTTATGGGACTTTCCAAAAATGCAGTGTTCACAGAACTTGAGATTCGACACTTCTGCATTATCGATAACTCCTTTTCGAGCTAAGATTTCCATGCCCTTGTATGACATGTGCCCAAGTCTGCTATGCCAGACCTTAGTTTTGTCTTGAACCTTTGATCTGTGAACTTCGCCCGTTATGGTTTTCCCTTCTAGGATATATATCCCATTCTGCAGAGTTCCTTTCAGCACTGTGCGGCAGCCTTTGATTACTTTCAGGCATCCTTCTTGTGACTTGTACCAGCAACCTTGAGACTCCAGAGTTCCAAGCGAGATGAGATTGGTTCGCAGGTCAGGTACATATCTGACTTGTGACAGGGTAATCTCTGATCCATCGTGTGTTTGGATTCGTATATTACCCACACCTCTTATTCTACAGGTTGAGTTATTTCCCATCATTACGATTCCGATGGGTTCGTCCTTAAACTCGGAGAACCACTCTTTTCGTGGACAGAGATGAAAAGTGCAGCCTGAGTCTAATACCCACTCGTTTTCCACATCACGAGCTGGCATCGTGAGGGCCTCTGTCTTTTGTATGATTAGCACCTCTGAATCATATCTTGTTCCTTTGACCACATCTGCTTCCTCTTTATCAGAATCATTTTGATTTGATTCTCGTTTTCTTGCATAACAATCTCTGCGGAAATGTCCCTTTTTTCCACAGTGCCAGCATTCCGAGTCCTTATTTCTGGATTTGGACCGTGAACGGCCCTTCTTGGAACCATTCTTGCCCCGAAATGGTGATCTCCCTCTGATGTTTAGGCCATCACTCTGATTTTTACCAATCTTTCCTTGAGCCATGAGCTCCATTTCCTTAGATCTAGCTGCAGCTTTAACCTCTTCTGGGGTTATGGTAGATCGAGAGTATTTCAACACTTCTCTCAGTTGATCATATGCTGGCGGGAGTGAATTTAGAAGGTAAACCGCCTGATATTCCTCTTCAATCTTCACCTGCAAGCTCTGGAGATCAGATAATATCTTCTGAAATTCATCCAGATTTTCTTCTATCGTTTTTCTGTCATTCATCTTGAACCCTGAGATCCTCTGCATCAGATACATGCGGTTTGGTAATGATTGTTCCAGGAACATTCTCTCGAGTGATTTCCAAATTGTGTACGCCGTCTTTTCATGAATCACTTTCCTTAGAATCTGATCGGAAAGACACAGAACTATCAAGTTTCGAGTCTTTCTGCTTCTTTCTGATCTTTCTTGATATGTTCTACCACCAGATGATTTTCCTTCTGATCCAATCGAACTTGTCGTCACTCCAGATCCTACATCAGAAGTCATTGACGAGTCCATATCTGCGTCCCCCTTCATCACCCCAACTCGAGGAGTCTGGTCCTCTTTACCAGGTCTTGTATCGTGCGTGATCTTCCAGTCTTCTGGGTTATCTTCCAAGGTATCAAGAAGACCCATAATCTCCAAGCCGATTTGAATTTTTTCTTTCCAGAGAACAAAATCATTCTTCCCATCGAACTTCTCAACATCCAACTTCTGTACCGGAACTGCCATCTTCACCTTCTTTCTCGATTCTTACAATTCTTCACGATCGATCACAGAATTCTTCGATTGCCCCAAGTAACCGGGCTCTGATACCACTTGTAATTGCGCAAGAATCAGACCTCACCACGAACTCACGCAAAACAGAAACTCTCTATTGTTTCTCTCGAAGAACAGGAAAAAAGCCAGAGATCGAAGAACAGAATCTAAAAGACGCAAGAGATTTAACGAGTTCAGTACGATCAGTGTAATCGTACCTACGTCTCGAAAGGAAGAGAGAGGTTCTTATTGATCTTGGGATTACAGATTACAGAAAGAACTAGCTTTTTCTTCTGGAAGCTAACAACCCAATATATAGCAGACGGAGAAGAAGAAGACGCTGCCTTTTTCCCAAACAGATTAAACCCTTGGTTTGAAACCAAGTCTTCAGCTATTATGAAGTCTCTGTTTTACCCAGAAGGTTTCATGGTTTCAGGCATTTATTCTACAGAAGCCATATATACTAAATAAAATAACTACGTCTTCCCTCGGGCGATAAGGCCCACACAAGTTATATATAAATTATAACCCGTCATGTTTATTGGGCTTATGTAGGCCCAATATATTTCGGCCCATATCTGGGCTTTTCTGCGAGGATCTCGTCTATCCCCCTTCGAGCCGGAACTTTCCCGCCTAACCGTGACTGGAATAGCATCAACTCCTGCCCAAAAACCTCGGGTGATTTTGAAGATTCCGGTGAAATCACTTCGGAAAAACGAAAATGGAAGCTGATCGGTCTCTCGGAGGAAGAATACGGAGGAAGCCGCTTGCAGATTGCACCAACACGGTGGTCTCCAGATTTCGTCGGCCGTCGTCTTCTTCTTTCTCCGTTACTGATGTCAAATCGGCGAATCCATCTCTCGCTTCATCTCTTAATAGGATAATTGATAACACGACGGTAACAGATCCAGTTTTGTCCCCGGAAGCGTTTCCCGGGGTCAGGTCACGGCCGTCGCAAACCCTAGCTCTGCCGATCCAGCTTCTCCGACCACCACTCCATCTCATTCCCGTAATTCTCGCTCTGTTCGAGGTATTTTCTTCTCCGCGATTTTTTTTTTTATGTGTTAGCTTTCGTGGGGTTCTTTGATTTCCTCTGGTTATCTGGGTTGAGGCTTTGAGGGTTCTAGGGTTAAATTTGTTGTTTCGAGTCATTTGATGTGGGATTTTTTCTCATAAAGGAAGAATGGTTGGATTATCTCTGCATTGTCCTCTTTCGAAGAACGAGTGTTAAGCGGAGAAGAAATTGATATCAAGCTGATTTTCCATGTAATTAGTTCTGGTGATATCTTTGTCTTAGTTATGTCCTTTTGCTGTAAGCTGATGTTTGAGAGATCTTATATTCTTAGACATTGGTCACAAGGAGATCGTTGAGCCTCATTCGGTTTACACCAGAAGAAAGGATTCTGTAAAGAGGAAGAGTAAAGAGATCACTGCCTTGGATCCAGTGGATTGCCCTCTCACAAATACAGTTTTCCGCTCTAGGTATGACAGTAGATCAGAGTGCAAATTTGAATATCATATGCATCGAATTCGCTAAACCATGGAAAATTTAGTTCACAATGATCCCTATCCCTATATAAATTCAAATATTGCATTTGTTGGTGATTCTTTTCAAAATTTGTATCGTAGGGGGAAAACACACCGAGCAGATGAAAACACGTCCAAACCCTTAACTACAGCTCGGGAAAAGGTGAATTTCAGGAAGCTCTAATCATATACTTATCAGAATGAAAGATAGGATTTTGGTTGTCAAGTTATATGGCCTTTTTGTGTTGCCTATCAAAGTTTCACGGTTCTGAGGTAAATTTTTGCGATCTTGGCTTGAACTTCGCTACAACGCTTTGTTTGTTATCGCTTATCGTAGTTGAACATTTTGATTGTTGTGTATCCCTGTTTCGACCTTTAACTCTGATATCGTTAAAATTTCAATTTGCTAACGGAATTTTGATCATTGTGCGTCATCTAATTCAACCTTCATCTCTTTGCTGCATCGTTGTTTTACTAATTCCCCAACATAGTTTCAAGAGAGCATGCTTCTGTTTTGTCAAACATTTTGAAAGGTAGTCTTGGAATATTCTTATGAGATGTTCTTGTTCTGCAGTATCGTAAATTTCGCTAGTTGTGTTCCCATCATTTGCTTTGATTGAATCTTCGGTCACGGAATTATATTACAGTGTTTTCTCAAAACCTAACTGAGTGTACATTATTGGTTACCCAAATGTAATTCTTAGAAATCGTGTAACGTTTTCATCCCAGAGGCAGCGTCAGGGAAAGCGCAACCGGGATGGTGCACGGCAAACACTCCCGCAGGAGTTTATCGAGCAACAGCGAGCTTACTTCGCTGAGATTGACGCCTTTGAACTGCCAGAAGAGGAGGTAACTTCTACCAGCGACTTGGAGTAAATTTTGAATCATTTACGGTATATATCGACTTTTAAGGCACCATAACCCTGTAGTACCACTGTATAGCTACAAGTCTTCTCAACCCCCCGAAAAAACAAAAGAAAGTCAAACACCGGCAAAGTTTTGTCAACCCCCCTTTCTCCTGTTTAACTGGCCCTTAACCCAAACAGTTGTCCAGTTTTGTGAATACAGAAGATCTGTCCTTTATAATACTTGCTGACCCATCGTATCTTATCCTAGGAATACTAGATTAGTATTTTTCAGAAGACGTTTTTTGATCTATATAGACAACAAGAAGATGATATTAGATACGGTTTTTTCAAGGTTCTTAGATTCATACATAGAATTTTGGTCAGCATTGAATAATATTTTCCAACGTTTATTGATTCGGTCCAATGTTGTTAAAGTGTAAGTAATGGATAGTGGTAAAAATGCGTTCAAAGTGGAGAGGGGCTTACATTTTTTGTAATGACATGAAATGAGGGGTTTAATTGGATTATGAGTAGGCAGTACGAGGGATTGGGACACGTGGATATGTTTCCCTTAGGGCAAGGTTTATATTATGTTTTAGATGCCATGATTTGAAGCTACCGTGACATTGGACCAAATGCCACATCCCATGAATTATATATATATATATATATATGGACCTTAAAAAACCATCAGCCACAAATCTGAAGTCAAGAAGGTCTTCATATTACAGATTTGAGGAATTGACTTTGAGTGTTCCATGTTGATTTGAATTCAACTATATATATATACATAGGTTAATGTACAAACGATTTGAATGGGATTTCGAAATACATAATTATAATGCGAGCCACCAACAATTTAAATATCAATCATAACCAGATTTTTTTTATTTATGTTAATAATGTAAAATATTATTTGATGATATTGCTTTTTTGTGGCGAATAACTTACATATACTATATATTTAATAAGTTTTCTTTCGGTAGCGGAGTTTGTCCTTTGAGCATTTCATACAAAAATTTGAAATTCGGAAAACTTCAAAACGCAAGAAAAAATTCCAAATTTCGCTAGAAATATGTAAACAAAAGAATTAATTTATAGATTCAATATATATACACGCTCATACACAACAGATAGTACAAAATTTGGTGCAAGTAGCTTTTCTATATATGTCGTAAAGCAATATTAGATTGCTTGGACTCTACAACTATGATATTTCATATTTTAATTAAGATGCATGATTCATTAAGTTTTCATCGTAGTTGCCAAAATAATTCTTTGTATTTAGACACAAGTGGATCATGTATTTCCATACACACAAAAAAAATGTTTTATACATTTTGTATATTTCTCTATAACAAGATAGAATTATCTAATCTAAAGTGAACAACTTTACTATGAAATTTTAATATAAATCGTATTTTTTTAAGTAACAAAACCATATACTACGTACTATAAAAGAATTACAAATTTCTCCCTGGCGAATAAAAAAACATAAGAGATAATTAAAATTTAGGAAACATGCAAACATGTTATTTAGTTTATGAAACAATTATTTTTAAAAAAAACGAAACCAATGAATTCCGTTTTTCATTGTAAAAATATGAAGACTTTGGAACAGCCTAATATACACACACGCACGCAAAAGACGAAAGGAAATGCATACATAAAACAATGTATATACATATATGTAGAGACAGAGGAATGTACCAGATTATAAACGGCTATTAATTTCAAACACAAAATCATAAATAGAAAGATTTATTTATTGTACGTCATGTAAATTTCGCCCTGATGAAGACAGACAAAATAAATGTTAATTTCTACAACCGTTTTTTATTGTTCAGACAATATTTAGAAGAGCGATTGAACAAAACGGATGCATGGAAGAAAGAAATAGTGCTTGAATTAATTCACGATTTTTATGATTTCCGAATGTATATAAAACTCGCCGCATCATTATAAATATAAATTGTTCTCCCCTTGTATTATTTTCGGCGGTCAGCAGATCACAAATCACTGAAAATAAATAAATTCATATATATGTTTTTCGCTAGTATAATAAATAACGTGATGATTATCCAAAGTATGGTGAATTCTCACTTGCGATATCGCCGTACTCCAAGGGCCTCACGGTGATTGGTTGAGAGAAAACAGAAGAAGAAGGAGGAGGGGGAAGCGGCGGCGGAGTAGGTGGTGTCTGCGGCGGAGGAGCCACGACGGAGACGGCGCCGGAGGAGAGCAAAGCCACTTGGGAATTAGAAGGCATCATCGTAACGGCTTCTCGCTGCTTGTACTTGAGAATCTCTGTCCGAATGGACGCGAGCTCTATTTGTAAGGCTTGAACTTGTTGTTGAAGGGCTGAGATTGCGCCCATGCATCCGTACACCGGATCTCGTAATCTCACGTTGGCTTCGTACACGAGACTGTTCGCCGCGTCGGCTCTCTGGCTCTCGGGCACTTCCTGATTAGGTTAAAAGTGTTAGGGTTTTTCACATAACGAGTTATGTCGATCTCTTGGTGTAATAATAAGGTCCGACCTTTGGGCTCATCGATCGAAATGTTCGTGTATTGGTAGCGATCGATGGTTACAAGTGTATGCAAAAAGTTAAAAAGATTTGCAACCTCAAACCAAGATCAAGAACTAATGGGTAATAATATGAGTTTGATTTAAAGATTTGTGAGAAAAAAGCTGCTCATCGGGATTCAAGAACGTCTGAGTTGTTTCATCAAAGTGCTACCAAGACAGTTTTTTTTGTTGATAATATATGATTGTCAGGATTCGAACTCTGAGTTTTTGGACAACACTTTGTATTTCCACAACCACAAGACCACCTACTCCTAGTTTAATATGTATGGTCCATATATATATACACACACTTACCATTAGCATTTTGGAGACGTTGCTGGCACCAAAGACTTTGTGGACGGACGCGAACTTTTGAGGCTCGTGGGGGGAAAAATAAGGGGAAAAGGGACATTCTTGAGCGCATCTGCGGCGCAGGAGCTTGCAAGCGGCGCAAGGAGTGATGGTGTTGAGCGCTCCGGGAGGAAACGCCATTTGTCTTCTTCCCGCCATTTGAATCCAAGCATCTGCTTCTCTTCTGATCTTCTTCCCTATCTCCTCATCAAATCTCTCCCTGAACATATGGAGAGTTTTGATAAATTAGGAGAATCCTTAGGACCAAAAGCATATATTATATTTGTTTGGCAGACCAAATCAAATCATTAATTAACAGAGAAAAAAAAAGGGTTTATAGGGATAGATGTTCGCTTCTTACCTTTCCCTTGATGACATTCAGGCAGGCATGCTCTCCGTCTATGGAAACGGACGGAGTTTGCAAAAGAAGAAGAGAGAAAAGACAACAACAGAAGCAGAAAGAGAGATATAACAAATTAAGAGCTTCTAAGTTAGAGGTGTGGTGTAAGATTGTCCCGAGCGATGAATGCTTTAAAGGCAAGATAATACGAAGTAAAGAGATTTAGTGATCACGATGTGTTGTAAATATAAGTAGATACATACATACATACATATATATATATATATATGTATATATAAATTCAGATCCATGGGCGGGCTCTTTGAAAGATCTGTCATGGAGGAAATCTCACTCTATGAAAATCCAAACAAATTTAAAGTTAGGACGAAAAGGGCAGTGGAATCTACTGCTTGAGCACGTGAGGGTTCTTGAATATGCTTTGACTTTTGAGATCTGTTGACACAAAAAATATTTATCTGAATAGTTACATTTTTCAATTGTTTTTTTTTCCCATTTAATTTCAGGCAACACAGATGGATTTCGTGCTTAATGCTACCATTTAAAGTTGTTCGTTTTCCCGTGACGACGGCATGTGGGCTTTGCTTCATTCACAACTCCCATTTATAAAACCATATAATAAACATATATATTTTTCACTTTTTCTCTGATCCTTAGTTCAAGCTTTTGAAAATACCATATATATATATATATATATATCTATATGCTTTGGGGTGGCCATTCTAAACTATATATATATTGGTCGGACCACCCTAATTTCAGTTAATTACATTATTACCCTTACACGAACTGGGCATTTAGTTTTAGAACCACGCGGTTGGAAACCAGTTTATAACGCCAAGCGAAGCAATTATTTAGATGGAGATTGTTCATATTTTGCAATAGAAGAGTGAACGAGGTGATGCTATGGCAAAGGCTATTAATTGGGCATGTTAGTTCTATGTCATAATCATGAAACTTCGTCTTTATGGAGAAGGACTGTATCTGGGATCTTGTTGTGAAAATGATCTCTAATCATATTATATTATTCTATTATAATTTTTACCTATCGGTCGATTTTGCCGTATACGTATACATTCCGCAACTTTATCCATACTGCATACATATATATATATATACATACATGCAAGCAGCTTGTAGCCAAGCTGTTTGATTCCTATGTCAGAATTATGTTTTTCTATGTATCATATGTACGAAATGGGAATTAAAATAAATAAAAATAGCACTTCGGTCGATAATATAATAATCACTATCTTCTTATAACACTTGTTCAAAGTTGTAGCTTTCACTGCTCTTATATCTTATAGTGGGTGGTGAAAATGAGGGGAAATTCGGTGAAAGAGTAGTTGTCATTGTTTTTATGTATAATTTTATTTTATTTTTGTCGAAATATTATATATATATAATATATTGAAAAAAAAAGGAAAAGAAGAAGATTGCTTAGACTCCAAGAAACCAAAGCAGGCACCCAAAGACTATACATTATTCTTGTTTGACCCGTATTTGTAGCCTAACTCATCTCTCACTTGTTTACTCTTCCTTGCATTTTATAACAACATGCGTGGTGGGTTTTTTTATATATATTTTCATTCCCCATTCTTTATTTAATTAAAATTTAGACAATTTGAAATTACAAAGCTCTTTCATGAAAAGAAAAGAAAAGTTTTTTCTTTAAAAACAAAATTGTGATTCAAATAACAATTTTATTGGTATATGTTTTCTTAATAAATACATAAATAATTCATTTGTGCATATCTTTTTCTTAAACTTTAATTTCTGAATTATCTCTTGTATAATAATTAGAAAATAGAAATGTCGACAGGACATAAAAGTAAAATTTATATAATTGGACGCATTGTAAACTACTGAGTAGTAGTGATTTTTTTTAAAAAAATTTCAATATGTTATTCTATGTTTTTATTTCATTTTCATCTTTTTACTGCACCGCTAAAAAACTTCCATAATTTTTTTGATAATCCGTAAATTTATCGAACTTTCAACAACTACATATTTGAGAGAACCGTAAAAATCTATGTGAATATATCTTCTCAGATGGAGACTCAACTCGAATATGTGTTGGAAATAAACTTTGTTTCTTGAGTCATCAAATTTGGAATTCAATGATAATTATCTAGTGCAAAATGTGAGCATATTCGCACTAACAAAAGAAGAATAAAAAAAAAATTAAGGTATCGGATCGGATTTAACCAGATAAATCCAAACCACGAAAAATAACTATTAGGTGAATCTGGTTTATACAGTACGAATTGTAAATATTTTTTCATGAATTAATACAATATAGTATAAGAGAACATCTAATCAAATTCTTTAACGAACTTCCAAATATTTAGGAGATAAAAACTATATATGAAAATCAAATCAAGGATACTCGGTAATTATTGTTAGAATATGGATGTCGCGATTTTAAAATAGTCTAGGATTATGGGTTCGATTGGTTGTACCGCAGCGGTTGCGGTTGCGGGTGGCAGCGTTTTCAGAACGTTTGATAGCGATTATAAATGATTAGTACTGACTGGTTGAGAAGTTGCTGTTGGTAGCGATTGCAGGTGGATGCAGTTAGAAGTGAATGGTTCATTACGGTTGCGGTTGCGTTTTGATATAAATTGTTAAAAAAATATATATTATTTAAAAATAATTTTTTATAATAGTTTTAATTAAATTTTTCGTATCATTTGATAAAAATTATTTACTAAATTTATAATAATTAAATAATAAATTTAAAATATAAATATTATCAATTTAATTTATTTTTAAATAAAAAAATAATTTTATTATAAAAATTATTAAAAATAATCATTATTAAACTTAAAAATTATACTATTATATTTTTTTTATTAAAATATAATACTAAAAAATAATATCAAATCATAACACTAAACAAAATCATCACCAATATATATATTAATGTTTTATATAATTTCTAATAAAAATATTTTAGTTTTTTTGTCAAAACGCTGGAAACCACTACCAAAACGCAAGTTGGAAGCTGCGATTAGAAAACACAAGTTTGGTTGCGGTTGCGGTTGGTTGCGGTTCAACCAGTCAGTTTTTCAATCGCCCACAACCATCGAAAATCGCAACCGCTCCGTTTGCGGGTGGCGGCGGTGCAACCAGTCGCCCCCTATATCAGTTACTTGGTTTAATTGTAAATATAGAACAAGCGTCAAAATATATGTTCGATTATTAAATCATATGAAAATACAAATCTAAATTTCAAAACATACGGAAAAAATAAGAACACTAAATTGCTTACAGAAAATCGACATATCGAAAATCGCAACCGCTCCGTTTGCGGGTGGCGGCGGTGCAACCAGTCGCCCCCTATATCAGTTACTTGGTTTAATTGTAAATATAGAACAAGCGTCAAAATATATGTTCGATTATTAAATCATATGAAAATACAAATCTAAATTTCAAAACATACGGAAAAAATAAGAACACTAAATTGCTTACAGAAAATCGACATGCATACAAAAATCATATAATTTCTTATGTATGCCCACACGTGTGTGCGCGCTTGATCAAAGACTTCGACCGTACCTTAAGATGTTCACTCGATCTCTTCTCGTCACATCATTTCGCGACATTCGAATGTTCCCAACGGTGTAAGCTGAATATCTCTGACATACACTGCAATATATGTGTGTGTATACATATATATATGGAATCCTATACAAATGTTATTCTAAACTAGATTCCAAAAACAAGCTATGCAAATTAACATTTGGACCACCGAAATATTTGTGAATTAAGAGGAACGAATTATTAAGATTATTAATAGATAAAATTATGATGATTATATAAAATTGATTTATAATTAAAAATGAATCGATGGGATGAGCACAGTATAACCGGTTCAACCGGTCGGTCCGGTCGGAACAGTTTTGAAAACACTACCCAAAATTATTGGTAGAGTGAATTTTAAAAGTACTGCTTCTTCAAACAATACCCACAAAAAGGAACGCGGAAATATTTAAATGAATATCTAATGAGAAATAAATGAGCAAATTCATGTTAGATAAAAATTGGATACATACTTAAGATAGTTGCAGAGATGGTCCATAAATGCAGGCACGTGGTCAGTCAATTGCCGACATTTTCTTGACGTTAGATCTTATGCTAATTGTTTAATTCCAAGGATGCAATAAAATCCAAAAAATGAAAATTAAAAAAAAAAATCTTCCACAAAAACTTACTTGTGAAATTAACATAATAATATGTAGTGTAACAGTATTATAAGATTGGCATATGATATCTTCTTATAGTGTAAGGATTAGTTGGATCGGAAAATAAGAATAAACATTATAAAAACACACAATTGATAATTTGATTAATCAAAACCACACAAATTTTGTCCAAAACATATGATTTTGGAATTGAACAAATCAAACACGATGTTCAACGAGAGAAACCCAAAACCAAATATGAAACCCAACCTTAAAATCTAAACCTAATTCGGATCTTCTCGTTACAGATATTAAGATCCTTCAACAAAAAAAAAAACGAACAAGAACTCACGAACACGGGAAAAAAAAGGTAAATCTAGATTCGCATGATCAAGCAATTCATCACTGGTAAGATCTTGACTTGGATCCATTGATACGGGCAGAAAATAGAGCCCTCTTCAAACTCCCCATTGAAGAACTAAACCCTCTTTTCCCCCCTTTAGATCCGTAACACAGATTCGATGTCCACGACGACGATGACCTAATCTCCTCCTCCTCGGCCTCCGACTCGTCTTCGCCGTCATCCTTAACGTAAGGAATCGGAGATCTCGAACAGGGCAGAGAAAAATTCTTCCTATGGAACCCTAATTTCTTCGAATGGGAAACTGGAGGTGACCACGAAGAAGATGATGACGAGGACACTGAAGATGACGTGGACGACCATGAAAACGATGGCTGAGAGGCATGACCCTTTACGTTATTGTTCTTCCTAAGATGGAAAAGACTCGCTAGGAAGTGGGTTTGTCTAATTTTCAGGACCTTGTCATGACACCTTTTCTTGGACGACAAGTTAGCGGAGGAGAAGTAGGACGGAGGCGGAGTAAGCGGCGGCGGGAGAGGAAGACGAGAGGGATCAGAGAAGAGAGAGTGTTTGGGTGTACCTGGACACGTCTCCCACACAAAAGGCACGGTGGCTCCGCCGTAGTAATAAACCCTCGACGAAGAATTAGCCCTCGAGTTCTCCTTCGTCAATGCCCTTGATGACAAGAATCCCTCTTCTTGATGATTCGTCGTCCTACTTGCAGATTCTTCATCTGTTCTTCCCGACATTATCAAGATCTTCGATCTTGCCAGTTTCTTGTCTCTGTGTTTCTCTGCGATGTGTCGATAAAGAAAGTGCGAGATCCGATCGAAGACGACGACGAAGTTTTCTAAAAGCGATTAAAACATTTTTTTATTTATCAGTGCTGTGTATATATAACACATATATAACATATACACACAGAGACAAAGGCGCATCTATTTTTGGAAGAGTGATGCTTTGCGAGTAAGAGAAGTTTGCGGATGAATTAAAGGGCCTCTATTTGCAGAGAGCGTAAGCACATGTCATGTTCATATTTAATCTCTCTTTCTTTCTTTTTAATTTTATTTTTGGAATTTTGTATGGTTGAACATGTTTGCACGAGACACGTACTGAATCCGGACACAAGACAATATATGAATATGACACAGGACAAGAAATGGTTAGGTTTTAAATAAGTGGGGGCTAGCCCATGGACCATGCCATCACTCTTCTTCTTTATTATTATTATTTTTTAATTGTTCAATCCCTACTCATCCGCGTAAATTATATGGTTTAATGGTTCACATAAATTTTCGATCTAACTTTCAAAAAATATCTTATGATTATTTTCTGTCTCGGCATATTTCTAACATGCATAGCATTTACAAAGATACGAGCCAAAAATAACTAATGAGTGGTGTCATTTACACCGTGCATGGCTATAATAATAATAATAGTGAATTTGAAAAAAATCCACGTGTTTATATGTATTTTAAAGATGATAGGATGGGGATGTTGAGGAGGATGGTAAGGATTAATGTGGACCGTTGGATTAAGCATGACCATGTGTGCACAATAAATGAATTTTCGGCAGCGGTCCATTGTTTCCTACTGATATTTTGATTGAATTCGATAGGGAAATGGCGATGAAAGTTGGTTAGAGGGAATAAGGGGAGCTCCTCGAATTTAATTTCGCACAATATGTCATGTATATCATGCCACCAAAATTTAAAATATAAAAAATATTATTATTTTTATATTTTGATATTAAAATGAATTCCAAACCATCAAAACAAACACCTAACTATCTTATAGTATTTAATTTATTTTGCATTTCTAAATTAATTAATAATAAATTCCATTTTGGTGTTTAATCTAGTTTGCGATTTGATATCTAGTAAAAATATTAGTTTTACACTTAAATTTATTATCTAACATGTTCTGATTGGATATCAATCCTATCTCCGGTTTGACCAAGTCAAATAATTAATTAATTTGCTCATTTATCCGAATAATTTATTTAAACTATATTTCTCTATCTCTTTTTCTATACATTTTCCTTTCATTTTACTCGATCTAAATTTTTTTCTTGTTTGGGTCTTCACTATATCGAACTCTATAATCCAACAACGATATTTTATTAAAGTTTTTTTATCTGATTTTTTATTTAATTTTTAAACTTGTAAAGGAAATTTGTGTTGGACGGAATATCCAAAATTTCTAGTCAAGTTTTTAAATATTAGAAACTAGAATTTGAATATAAATTTTTAAAAAAATGCAAGATAAAATATGCATAAAGAAGACTTAGATTTATGGATTTTATGGGGAACAGACATTAAAGATAACACATATATAAGGATATCATATCAAAATGTTGCATGCATATTGTTTTATTAGAATTTTAGTATGATTATTCAACATTTTAGAACCATTTATTTTAAACAGAAAATATAATCAGAATTATAGATTTGTTAATATTTTATGAAAATAAGATTTCATTTAGTTTAGCCGATTTATATATTTTAATGAAACACTTTTTATTGACATTATTTTTAAATGTTTTCCATAATAACCATACCTAAAATTTTTGTGTCAATAATTAAGCCACCTAATCCAGATGGGCTCCTTGAAACACGTGTCGTTTTGTTTATGTCACGTGCAGCCGAACCAACATGAGCCCATAAATTAAAATTATTGGATAAAAAAAAAATCTTGATTAAGAGTGAGTCTTAATCAGTCATAAATATTTTTCTTTATACATAGTTTTAACAATCCAAGGACTCACCCTTGCATTCACGTAGTCCATATAAATGTGGAACAAAAAGACTTATCACATTTATGCACACCAACAAATCAGCATTTTTTAAATTCTTTCAAATAATTTGAAAATATAAAATATTTGTGAAAATTTGATGGTATTTGACTCCAAATCCTTTAGAATTTTAATTCGAATTTTAGAATATAAAATCCAGTCACAGATCATCTAAATTTTAGACGTCCGTAAACATCCCAAATTAATAACCGAATGTCGCGAATCCAAATTTTATAAGTTTATAAAATAATAATAACTTCACAAATATATTAAATGTAAAATATAATTTTAATAAAATTTTTATATCGATAACTTTTCCCCCTTGATATAGCATGCTATTATTATTATTATTATTATTATTATGATTTTGTTAAAACCATGCTATTATTTGCTGCGACTCCGTACCTAACAACACTTTGAGAGAAATTATTTTGAGATTAATTATAAAGATAGAGATAAGCCTTGTGATATGGTACGCTCGGAGAAGATGTCGGTCGCATTTATATAATGCATGTACTTAAAACGAAATAAAATGCTCAAGAGATTTGGAATTTATTACAGTAAACCCTACAAAACAACGTCGTTTGATAGACGGAAACAGCAATTTCCAATGATCTGTCTGGGCCTCCTCAATCAACGGCCCAACACCAGCAATCGGTCAACTATACCATGCACCCGTTCTCACATGAACCCTTTTCCGATGCGGTCAAACAGTCAACGTAAGAGTTAAACCTTTACACAAATATCCACTCGAACTTCGCCGCGTGGCATAGGCATATTGCTCTCTCTCTCTCTCTCCCATTACCCTGCGGCTCTCTTCCAAGACCTGACTCGTAAACGAGAAAACACAAATGGTTGGGCAACCGATTTTTTGTTGGTGGTAATTAATTAGGATGATTACTGTAATGGGTTTCTCTTTAAATCCCTTCCGCTTTGAATTCGAGAAGCCATTGCTGCATTTCTCGGGTTGGCGATGTCGGAGGAGTATCCGACGGCGGAGGCGATTCTGGGTACACTCGGGATCCGGGTGATGGGGACCGGATCTGAGTCGGATAATTTCGGGTTCCGGGTCGACCCGGCTAGTATCTCCCCCGGTACGTGCATAAGGAGAGTGAGATTGAGAGCTGAAATCCATACTTCTCCGCCATTCGGGTCGGTTCAGGAGGCGGTGACCAGGTTCTGTGGTCGTGGGTCTTGGGTTCCTTTCAAGCTTGGAGAACATTACGTAAGCGTTTCTTTTGTTTCTTTCTTCTTCTTCTCAGTCTCTAGGGTTTCAGTGTCCGATCAAATGATTCATCTCTGTGTTATCGGTCAAATGATTACAGTGGGAGACATGTCATGACCCTGTACGTGAACAAGAATGTGTAACTCGGTGTTGATCCATGTCCCTTGGAAAATGCTATCTGTGTTCTTGAATTTGCATCATAAATGTCATTCGGAACAGTCGTAAAACTCAATACCAGGATAGTTCCATCTTGAAGCGCATATGAACACGCCATCGCACATTCAATGGAGACGCGTGGTCTGTAATGTAGTTGTGTGTACTAGTAATTGATGGCTAATAATCGTAAAATCCGGTTATGGAAGTTATCAAAGTCTACGGAAAACCCTTTCGATTCAAGAGATGCTGTACAGAAACTTGAAGAAGTTTGGGAACCATACGAAGTGACGAACATAACGTGATAAACACTGATGTTAATTTGAGTTCATTTTTTTCTGCGTGGACAAGAGAGCGGTTGTGATCACGATGTTTTTGTAATTGTTCAAGAATTGTGTAGGATAATTCGACATGAAGAGAATGGAAGAGCAGGCGGCTGGGCTCGAGAAGGATCTGATAGTGAAAGAGCTGGAAACTCTGGATGTTCTAGAAGCACTTGGGTCCGGGTCGCCAAAAAGAGTGGTGGATGATTCGAAGTGGCAGCTGCAGCAAGAAGCCTTGAGGTGCAAGGCAACACCAGAACATGTCCGTTCAGTAGACATCAAGGAAATGAACAGCGAACATTGCGATGATCTCTCTCACAATCCTCAGTTAGAGGTTGCTAATGTGAAACAACTTGCAGCAGATGCCGCTTTCCGCAGGTGGAACAAAGAATCCTGGAAGAACCCGAAAGGCTTTGGAGTAAAGAACTCGAGAAAAGCCGAAAACTTTCATCCCTCCAATCAAAACCGGCGCTCTTTCTTTGGTCATCTGAGCAAACCCGAGACATTTGAGGATCTTCCGAAGCCAGTTCTGAAGCCAAACATCTCAATGCGCGATCTTCTAAGCCGTAAGCAAGTTACAGACGAAGATCTCGATCCCGAAGAAGCGCGAATCACGAGACGGATAGTGAATCTGAGCCAAGTGATGGACGAACTGAAGGAGGATATGAAGCATTCGACACGAGCCGAGAAAGAGATGGAGGAGGCGAAACAGATTCTGGCGCAGCGGAGAAAGTTTGGGCTCATTCGAAAATCTCGAAGCAAAGCAAGGAGAAAAGTCAGTCCTTAAACACGATGCATTAGATTCATGTAATTTTCTGTTACATCTACATACGTAATTGGTTTGATGTCGTATGGTTGCTTCTATTTTTTTTTATATCTTATTCATAAGCAAACACAGCATTCCTTTTCCTGACACAAATTCTTACCCGACTTCTTAAACTAAGATCTGGTTACTTGAGCCGCAAACTTCGCAGATGTATAAAAGAGAAATCAAAACGACATATCGCAGATCCCACGAGACATTGAGTTATCAGATGGAAACATTGAGTTATCTTGTTTCAAGATTGATCCTTTTTTTTTTTTTCATAAGAGAAATGCATCACCAAATCCTCAATCTCTATCAGATTTGTAAGAAAGATTTCCTGATCGATAGAAACGTAATTGTAAACCCCTACATAAGCTCATACAAAAAAAAAAAACAAAACCTATATAAGCACGAGCCCCCCCCTCCCCCTCACCGCAAAACAAAATACAATCTCAAATCTCAAGTGCATGGCGATGTTTCGAGCTACGTCTACGTCTTACTGGTCGGACAACGAGGGGAGGCCGGTCCGTTTTCTGGGGCAAGGAGGATATGGCCATGTGACGCTGGTGGAGTTCAGCCCCGTCTTTCCAAGCGAGACCGAGCAATACCTGGCGAAGAAGACGTCACTGATGAGCAAAGCCGAGAGCATCCGCAGAGAAATAAGGATCTTATGCCACTTCAACGTTCCAAACATCGTCAGGCCCGCAACCCCTTTCGTCTACACGGAGACCGTCGACGGCCTCGAAGCATGCAGCATCTATCTCGAGTACGCGTCCAAAGGGACACTCTCCGACGTCATCAAGGAGAACGGCGGCAGATTGCGTGAGAAACACGTGAAGTGTTTCACGCGCATGATTCTTCGTGGACTGATGGCTCTTCATGCAGAGGGCTACGTGCATTGCGACCTGAAGCCCGCCAACATTCTGGCGTTTCCATCCAAAGCAGTGGGAGAGATATGCGAGCTGAAGATTTCTGATTTCGGTTCGGCCAAGGAGCCTGCCGAAGACGGTTTCTTGACGGACAACAAGATCTGCCCTGGAACGCTTCTGTATATGTCGTCTGAGTCGATAGGACCTGGGTCTCGGATCTTGTCCGCTTTGGACATATGGTCTTTAGGCTGCGTGGTTCTCGAGATGTTTGGGGCCAGCTGCTTCCTCCGGACCGTGCCTGAAGACATTTCGGATGACGCCAAGGACTTCATCAGCAGATGTATGAAGGTGAATCCGGCCGAGCGGTGGAGCGCCGAGTGGCTCATGAGACATGCCTTTCTCACGCGATAGATGGCCGTAGAAGATTCTAGAAGTTCCATCGGCGAAATTGGAGTTCAGTCCTTATTTTGTTTCATTCTTTGTTCTTTTTTTGTTCTTTTTGAATTCGGATCAGTTTACGATCGAATATTTTTTTTAGGGTTTATTTTGTAAACGACCAATCGTTTGCGTTAATAATACGAATTCAGTTTGGTTCAGATATTGATATTTCTCTCTCGCGCGCGCGTTTGTTCGTTTATGTTACGAGTATTTCTGATTATTATTAAATTAAATAACATCGTCCAAAAATATAAGAAGAAAATAAGATGAAGAAAGAATCCAGGGTTGACGAGAGTACGTGAGTATACTATAATGCAACCAATATGCATATTTGCAATGACAGAAATTAAACGTGAATGCCACGTGTTAACTTTTGCGAGGGTTTCGCTGATGATATTTTCAAAAGTTTGTTTTGCAAAATAATTTCAGAAAGTCGCATTTTATTATTACGATGTATTTTCCCAACTTTTTAAAACATTTGAATCGTATTTACTTTTTTTTATAAAATATTTTGGAAAATATATTCGTAAAAAAGAGAGAGGAAAAAACAATAAAACAAGATAGAGGCTGTGTTTGAGATAAACTTGGGGAAGTGATTTTTCAACTCCAAATCACATCGCCACTCACTTAGTAAGCACGTGTTAATAACAACCATGATTTTTTTTTTATCCAAACTATTTTTAAAAATAATTAAATCAACACGTTACAAAATTGATTTTCATGACACAATTATCCGACAAACTAAAATCTGGTTACTTGAGCCGCAAGCTTCGCATAAGAATAAAAGAGAAGATACAAAGAATCTGTTATATTGCGCGAAGAAGACGGAGACGGAGATTGTGAATAATCTGGCGAAGAGTTAAGTTCCACGAGACATTGAATTCATCCAAATCACAACTCGCTTTATATATGTTGCAGTATCAGATACTAATTACAAATGCTTAGTTCACTTGCAAGTTTTTTATTTTTTATTTTTATATATATATATCAGATTAAAATATAATTTGAAATATGGTATTATACAGATCAAATGCATTGTGATATAGTTTTCCAAGTTTATGAACAATATTAAATGAGAACATTATTAATAAGAAGGAAGTATATATTACTATATATGCTTGGGGTGGCAAAGTTACAAAAACTTGTATCCATATATATGAACCATGACATATATATATATGATTGTGGGATCATGATCTGGAGAAAAGCCTGGTGAAGAAGTTTCCAGAAGATTTGGAGGGGTTCTGGAGGCAAGAGACATGAACATATCTACCCAGCTTGTCGACTTGCCTTGCATCTCCCTTTGTGTCTTTCTTGCAAATCTTGCATGTTTTGTCCACCCATCCCTCCTCCACGTACTGCCCATCCACTGCTCTCGCACACACGACCAAGAAATCGTATGATTAATTGATTACAAAAAAAAAAAAAAAAACAGAAATCATATGCTTACCCTCAACGTAGGATTTGAAGAAATCCTTGTACGTGCCTCCGATTTTTCTCCTCAACGCCCCGTACTGACAGAAATTTGAAGAAAATTATAAATTACCAACAAGAAAAGGGTATAAACCTAATCAATCTATCCTTGAAATCCATTCCTGTGATCGAATTCTCGTTCATAACAAAGTTTCGATCGATCTAATCGGTATACGATTCCATTTTATTTTGGTTTATTACAGAGATTAAGGAAAGGAAAGAAAACCTGTTCTCTGTTCATGCGGCCGCCGGACTGGGTGGCTTCCCTGGCTTCGTAGAGGAGCTCGGCGTCTTTCTCCGACCTCACCTGCGAGAAATCCAAAGCCTCCGTCACGCTACTGAACAACGACGTCGCTTTCCCCTTCTTCTTCCTCTCCTCCTCCTCCTCCTCTTCTCGCTTCGCCGCCTTAATCGCCGCCCATCTCGGTCTCCGGCATGATCTCGACGGCGTTTGCCAGAACCCGGCATGGGAAGAGAAGCTGCTGCTGTGCTGCAGAGTTAGAGCTCTCGGACCCATGTTTTGATTTCCTCTGATTTTCAAGTTTACGACTCCGAAATCTTCATATGGTGTGTGTGTATATATACACACGTGTGTGTATGTCTCTGTGCGCGCGTGTGTGTGATTGTGTGGTTTCTTTTCTACTGGTTCCGAGGGCCACACATGAGAATCTGGCTGTGAATTATGAGTACGTGGGTGCTTGGTGAGCTGTTGATTTTTTTGGGGTTTATAATTTTGGTTGTAAATTTGTCTTTTATTCTGCAATTATATCTCGGCTTTAACAAAATGAATGAAATTTGTGCAGAGTCGCCATAAAGCTCTTGACTTTGTAGATCAATGCAGCAAACCCAGAGAGAGATGATCATAAGAAAAATCTGCATCTTTGATCTCAGATTCGTAAGCCATTAAAGACCCAAAAGCCAAAAAAAAAACAAAACTACAACGCATTGATTCACATGTCTCGCGAGAGCTAACTGATTTACAGAGAGGGAGGGAGAGAGATTTTCAGACAACGTAAACCATGCCGACCTCCAAGAGAGAAACGGGAGGGACCTTAAGAGCAACGTCGGGACCTCTGCAGTTCCTCCTCAAGAAATTGTATCCAAAGTTCACAGCCAGTCTCTTCAGAAGCGACGAACCTTTCTTCGCTTTCACGTGCGAGTGTCCCAATATGAACGCCGTTCCCGCCTCCTTCGCCATCATCAGCTCCTCCATCTCCCCCCTCAGCTCCATCTCCTCTCCCTCCTCCTCCACTGCAAACTGTACCCTTTTCACCGCATTCGATGGCGGGGGCGATTGCCTTCCCATCTCGATCACGTCGCTGATGCTCTCGACGGTCGTGAACCCGACCGATACGCTCTCCTGCTGCGGGCTCTCCTCTATCTCGTAGGCCAATGTCCCGATCACTGCTAGTCTTGACTCGCTGGAAGATTCGTTGGACCGCACTGAACGGGACGGGTCATCCTGCTCGTGGGTTCCGCCACCCTGGTGCGTTCTTCTTCTGTGCCAGTCGTAGCGTATGAAATCTGCCAGCCTGCTCACGAGCTCCGCTTCGAAGGAGTCGATGTCTTGGTGGACATCTCGGTAGCCATACCGCACGATGCAGCGGTAAGACCGGTGGTCCACTGGACCGACCCGTCCCACTAGATACCTCTCGGCCGGCGGAACGTAAGGGACGGGGACTGACTTCACGCAGACAAAGACCAGAACACGGTGGAATGCTGGGAGGTTGGTGACGAACCGTGAGAAGTTCACAGGGATTCCCGAGGTTAGGTCGCTGAAGACTAAGCCAATCCCGGGAACCCGAGAAATCCCGAGACTCGGGCCTAACGCAAGGAGCCACTCGAGCGAGACTTTGTTGTGGAGGGCGTACTCGTACTTCTTGACGGTGGCGTAGTGCCAGACGAACATGACGGTCATGAGGAAAAGCGCTAAGAGTATCGGGAGCCATGCTCCTTCCCGGAATTTGGTGAGGGAGGCCGAGAAGTAGAGGAGCTCTATCGAACCGAAGAAGAGCAGGAACCCGAGAGCTAGGACCGGCGGCTTGTGCCAGCAGATAAGGATGACTAAGGACATCAGGCACGTCGTTACCAGCATGACCGCCATTACAGCTAACCCTACACTCAAAGAACGACGCATTCTATCAGTAACAAGAACTCTTTTCCAAAAGTTTCGTCTTTTTCGATTATGAGGGGCCCGAAAATGTTAAAACGGGGTTTACCTGATGCGTTTCCGAGGTGTTTAACGTTACGGAACCCGATAGTAACAGCGATGCAGAGAATCATGAGGATCCAGTTGATCTCGGGGATGTAAATCTGGCCATGGATCTTAGCGGACGTGTGAATAACCTTGACTCTGGGGAAGCAGCCAAGAGACTGGCTCTGGTTAATAATGGAGAAAGTCCCAGTGATTATCGCTTGGCTTCCCACGACTGACGCAAGAATCGCAATCACGAGCACTGGCCACTTCACACTTGCTGTTCCATCAATCCAAGAATTCACACTCAAATTTCAGATTTTTAACCGGAATAACTTTATAGTTCTTGAAAAAGAAAAACGTACGAGGAACAGAGACATAAAACCCAATCTTATGGGCGGAATGATGATGCCGGGAAAGGTAAGCCGCTTGCCCCATGTATGCCAGTATAAGAGCCGGGTAAACGAGGAAGGTAAAGGCAATCTACAAAGAACAAATAACAGAATAATATTCTTTCAAAACCGTAACAAGAACTATGATGTAAGAGGGAACGATCATCCAAATCAAGTCCAAGAAACGTGCCTGAATTGCTGCATAAGAGAAGTGACCCAGATCAGCAAACATTGCCTCGGAACCTGAACAAGCAAACTCATGAACTAAAATCCGAAGAGATACAGGATTCGACTGAAGAGGGCATTATCCGAAACTCACCAGTTATGCACAGCAAGATTCCACCAAGGGACATCCATCCACTAATTCTTGTCTTCCTCAAGAACATGAACATGTACTTAGGAGAGAGAGCTTTATATACATATGGGTTCCATTTTATAATATTGTATAGACCGACACCGCTTATACACAGTAACCAGGTCAAGATGACAGGGGCGAAGACAAATCCAATGCGATGCGTGCCAAAATGCTGGAGCGCAAAGAGGCAGACTAAGATGAAACAAGTTATAGGAATCACGGCATCTGCAAGTGTCGAGGCAGCATTCGTCAGTGTAAATCTATCAGATCATTGATTCTTGTCTGTACAATAACAAGATCTTCTACTTACATTCATGGTGTTCTTTAGACATCGATAGCTCAAGACCCGACACAGCAGAAAACACTACAACAAGGAAATAAAATCTCTCACCTAAAACCAAAGATCGAAACTTGAACAGCAATTAAGCAAACATATAAAACAAAATGCTCATACCAGAAATAGCTGGAGTGAGAATTCCATCACCGATGACCATACAAGTGCCAAGAAGGACCAGAACCAGTAAAGCAGTGTGCAAACTCTTGTGATTCTCAAGGTATCTCTTCAACCGCGAGTCGTGATTTTTCTCGGGCGGATGCTCCAGTTTATACGTGGAGAGTGCCTCATCAGCGAGCTGCCGGTTTGGCAGAAGGCTAACTTTGGCATGACGGCAGAGAAGCGAGTACAAAGCAAAAGTCCCTCCTGCAAGAATCAACGTAACATATGCAGTTGAGAAACTAAAGATTGATTTCGATCTCAAGTCACCTCTCTCGCCGAACATTCTTATGAAATTCGAGGACTCACCCTCGCCATTATCGTCGGCTCTGAGAACAATGAAGACATATTTGATCAAGGGGACCAAAGTGAGAGTCCAGAAGACAAAAGACAGAACACCGAAGATCTCTTCGTTGGTCTCCGAGTGTTGAATGTCTTCGGCAAAAGTGCTTCGAAACACGTAAAGAGGAGAAATGCTCAAGTCTCCATAGACGACGCCGAGACTCTGATAAGCAAGAAGCACAACTGACCTCCATGATTCCTTCTGCACCATTTTCACACAACTCAAACCAAGAATGTTCAAATCTGAGACATGTAGAACCCTCATCCAAACCCTAGAATCTCACTTTTCCATGAACCAGCAGGATTCATCAAAGAACAACAAATCTGAGAGTTACAGAGTTTCATAACAAACCTTTGAAGCAAAGCACTTTCTGAAGCTGAGATCCATGGTCACTAGGCTTCGGTTTCCGCAGAAATATGCATATAAATTTCTTCAGTCTTAACACACTAAAACCTGCACCAACCAAAAGCAAGTGATATATCTGAATCTCAGCCATAAAAATTGAAACTTTTTTGGCAATTTTTTCCTGAAAATGAAGAGCCTTTTCCACAAGACTGAAACCTCCAAAGAACCATAACTACGAAACACCAAACTTTCTTGCCATAAAGAGGGGAAGACAACAACAATCAGGCCACATTCACCCACATCCCATCTGACTCTCTATCATCGTATTCTTACAAAAAACTCGAATGAAAACCAAAAATTGAAAACCCTAAATCCCTAATTTCATGAGTAACCAGAGGGCACCCACCATTTGTATCTGCAAGAGATCAACGTGAAAACTCCCACAAAAGCAATGGCCTTTCGAAGTGTGGCAGAGTAACTAAGCCATAAACGAAGAGTTCGTCATTTATTAGCTTAGCCCATGTTCTAACTCCTCCATTGTATTTTCCACGGGATTTTTAATTCGGTTTCCGTGCGACGCAATTTTAAAAATGTTTTTTTTTTGTAGAAAGAAGACAAAGGAGTTTATCTGATCGTCGTTGAAATAAGAGGAGAATAAAGATCAGGGAGAGGGCAGAGTGGGCGAAGATCAGAACACATTACGGCCACATGCTAAAGAACACTGAGAGTTGTATTTTCTCGGGGAAAAAAAAGGTGGAAACGTGGCGAGAAAAATCTGCAGGTGAAGAGACAGAAACACGTGATATCCCGACAGTTACATTTAAAAAAATAAGGTTTCTGCTTACCACCATGATTTCCGCCATTGATGCACCTGCTCAGCCCATTAAGGCAAGCTCGGATGAATTCTAATTTTCTTTGTTAATGTTCATGAATTGTCATGTGTGGAACATGTATGTGTAGGTTCTCGTGAAAGCAGATGTTCTTGAATCTTGATTAGCTTTGTCAAAAAAGTCGGTGCTAATTAGTTTCAATGTTTTAGGCATTTAAACTCGTGTAAATACATGGATTTTAATTTTTGGTAGATTCAGTAATTTTCCTTCTAAAATTATTAGATAATTATTATTTGTTTAATTTTATATATTCCAATCCTAAATTTCTAACTTATTTTATTATCTCCAATTGTAAATTTCTTCGGATATTTATTGCTCCTTAATGGTTGTCGAAAATTTAAACTTTTCTTTCTTTAAATTTTAAAATGAAAAGACGGGAGATCTAACTTTCTCGGCCACTTTACTTCTTAGTAGTTGTAAGGTGATGAAGGAGATGTCACATCATTATATGAGTGTATGGATGATGATGACGATGAACCTTTAGTTGTAAGCAAAATGGATCAATAAATTCAAACTCTACGAGTTTTATTTTACATATTTACGCACCATGATTTTTCATAAATCAGATATATCGTTACAGATAGTCATTTAATGCGGAAATAGTTATTATCATTAAAAAATATTATAATTATTTTTATCAACAGAAAGTTGGGCCGTTTGGCGTGAATCATTGCTGAAGTTAACGAACGAAATATGGTAGATCCAAGAACTGGGAATTTTACTCAAATCACCGACTTCGGTCGCACCTATTTCACGTGTACACCGGAAAAAACATAACACTTTTTTTTCGTGTGAAAAGACGAAATTACCCTTAATGAATACCCGATTTTTATCCGTTCGAAAACAACTTCGTTATTACGACTTCGTAATTAATTCTAAATATAGTTACAATTGATTCTAAAAAAGGTGGCAAAAAAATCATCTGTCTTATTTTAGTGGTATATCAGTTATATGTTAGTAGTAATAATGTCGCAAAAAATAAAACGAAAAGGGTATTTCGGACTTTTCCAACCGAAAAGTGGGTTAAAATTGAAAATTTTTTTTTACACTGAAATTGCTGCGACCCAAGTGGGTTATTTGAGTAATATTTCCCCAAGAACTTCCTCTCTTTTTTTCATAATAATAATAATATATTTGATGTATACGTTATTATTTGTTTCTTCCCTCTTCAAATAGAAAACATATCAATTTGGATATATGTATCTTGTCATATGATTATGTGTGTTTCCCGTGAACACTTAGTATCTTTTAAATATAATATAACTAAGAATAATTGCAACTCGTGAGCATCATAACTGGAGGAATGTTTTTGTGTTTTTTTTTCATTATTTTACAATCAAAATCAGAAACTTTCTTTAGTTTTGCTGCTTCGCCGTTATATAAGGCAAGGACCACATATTAAAATATTATCTTACCAAAGGCCAATCTTATATTATCATTAATCATGATTTATTCTTGATTTTATATATATATAATCTTAATGAAATAAGGAAATGGTCCAAATATGATTGGCAATAAGGTGGAAAAATACTTTTAAATGTATCGAAATACTTCGTGATCTAATGCTCTCGCAATCCGAATTCTCTTGAAATTCGAATTCTAATTCCATCTTGGATTATCTTTTAACAAAAATAAAAATAAGGTAGTATATTGAATGTATATATACACACGCATGTATGATTGCTTGAGTGATGCATACGCAGATATCCGATTTCCATCTACGAAACAAAAAGATAAATTAGTCAAAGTAAGCTGCTTTAAAATTAATTCCATCTAAATTTGTTTTTAATTTCAAACTAGAAAATCAACATATTTAAATCTTTAAAATAATTTTATTTTAAAAATACTTTTTTGTCATACAAGAGTAGTGGACTATTAATGGAAAAGAAATATATAAATAGTTTGTCGTAGTTTTTTTTTTGTTGTCGCTTCCTTCATGTGATTAGACCTAATTTTTCAATCAATCACTTTTTCGCATGTTACGATTCGCCGTCAGATGTAAAGAACCCTTAATTCTTTTGGAATACATACAATTCAAAAAAAAAAAAATTGAATAGACCGACGAGATTCTTTATAGTTTATGGTTTGGGGATCATATTTGTATTTCTTCTTGCATTCGGATGTATTCATAATTCAGACGACAAACAATTGCAGGAGATTCATTTGGGGGATTTAGTTAATAAATTATATAATTTAGATAATATGCATTGTGTTATCTAGATTAAGTGAATAAAACACGATGACTCATATATACCCAAGGAAAAATCTGTCTCAAAATCAACTAATAAAAAATCTCAAAGCATTCAAGTTCCGGATAGCAAAAATTCTCGAATTATAAAAGCATCCTGAGGTTTCAGACAGAATGGAAAAGAGACTGTGGATTGGGGGAAGGATTTTGAGAACTTCAGGTACGAGGAGCAGCTCCAGCGCCGGGGACACGCGGCGCCTGTCCTGGTTGCCCTGGCTTCGGCATGTCCTCCTGCAACAACATCATCATGTCCACAAACCATTCAACTACTTTTCGTAAACCACACAAGACCATACAACTCTTCTACACAAAGAGATGCTGCTAATCGAGGGCTAAGCCGAGAAACCAAACAAACGAGGTGTGCAGTAGCCGGGAACCGAAGGGAGAACTTCGAAACATGACCCACAACCCAAAAGTTTAACGGTTGAATCGGGAATAATACGAGCAAACTCGGCATAAACGGCAAAATGCACAACCAGAACACAATCCAGCATGAGCAAGACCCAGACATCATTCTCAAACATGGAAATCCAAAGGAATTCGAAGTTCAGGACAACTTCATACAACCTAACATTATTGTAGACAAAGCTGGGAACTTTATATCAGAATCAAGTTGGATCGCATCTCTAGACATGAAAGCTCTTTGCGGTGGCATAAAAATCAAATAACACTGATTGTACGAAGAACTTTGTATCAGAATCGAGTCAGAGCATCACATCTCTAGACAAACACAAAGCCTAAAAGACATTCTTTTACTCATGTATGGTGACATAACAATCATAGAACTTTACGAATGATTCCAAAAACCCAAAAAACGGATAGAGAGATTACCCTGCGTCTGGCGAAGCGCTGCGGTGGGGTACGAACCCTGCGGTTGGTGCGGGATCTGACCCTCACAACGTGAGAGTGGATTGCACAGGATATACAGTATTGCATCTTGGCATACAGCTTGGGCAGAGTGTAGCCTACGAATTCAAAAACCGGACAAAACATCAAAACACATTACCAATGTTTCCAACACATTATTCAAAATCCCGGGAGAGCAGTACCCACAAATTTACAGAATCAACAGTAATGTACATTGAACATTTATAGGAAAACTATGGAAAGAACATACCATCATAGACGCTGGCTTCCTGAACATCCCTAATAGCCGCCTGCTCGACAATGTTCCTCACGATAAACCTCTTAACAGCCTTGTCCTACCAATAGTGTTCACATTGAAAGCAACAACATCAGATCGAAATGTCCGAAACATCACATTACCATGACAGATCCAATTCAAAGGAAACGAGTGAGAGGAGGTCGTACCTTAGGGCAGCACTTGCCACAGTTGGAGCACCGGATAAAATTGACATGGCCCCTGTTGTGCTTGTTCCTGCCACCGTTCCTGCGCTTGAAGGTCTACAAATACGAATCGGACAAAGGACAGAATCATAGCGTAAGAGCATCGGATGCGACCAAAAGGAGGGAGCTATCTATGGAATTTGGAGGCGAACCACTCACCATGGTTGGTTCCGGCTTGACTTTTGCGAAGTAGGGTTTTCAGCGTAGGGAAAAGACAATGGTGAGAGAGTGGTGGGATTATAAATAAGGTTCAACGAGTTGTGGGCCTTGTTGGGCTTTATCCCCTCTTTTTTTTCTTAAATCAATTTTCAAATTAAGTTTCTGACTGAAATTAGGGCGTTGTTGGGCCTTGTTGGGCTTTATCCCCTCATATAAATATTATAACTATTGAACTTTTTTATATGCAAAAATATTTAAAAAAAATATATTTAACTAACAATACAATTGAAATATATGTAATTTCAAAGTATCAATATTTGAATTACCATTCAAAAAATTTTGGTGATATTTATTTAAAATCGTATATCTACATATATTTTTTTAAATAGTTTATCTATCTACATGGAAAAAAAATTATTTCATGTATTGTTTATTTTTTTAATCAATTTCATGTATTTTGGTCAGATATTCCCTTTCCTAAATTACAGTAAATCTGCAATATATATATCACATATGTTAAAATTTGAGACAAACATATAAATCAGAGGCTACAGATACATTAAAATTTATTGCAAACGGCCATGAGGAATGTTAGCATACCATGTTGTCACAGGCTAAACAAGCATACCAAGATAGCCAATCTGACAGATAAAGGCAGAGCTAAATAATAGAGTTTGGACTTGAGTTTTTTACTGGTCATTGGATCTAAGGGTGTAGCACCTCCTTTGCCTTGTTTATCCACACGCTGTATATCTCATCCGAAAACAGAACGAAGTGGACCTGACAGCAGAAAAAAGATCCGATGATCTAATCAACCGCCGAGAAAAACAGAATGAACTGTGTTCTAAATGGCGAAATGGGACAAGCTCGATCAGAGCGTAGGGTCTGTTTCGTGTTAATGGGGAAAGGGAAAGCTTACCTCTTTCAAGTCGTCGGCGAACTGTTTAATGGTGGAGATTGCTACCGAAGCTGCTTCGTCGAAAGGGTACCTAACAGCAAATCAAGAAAAGGAGTTTGATGAGCTGCGTTCTTGTTCTTGCCACCTATTAAAGAAAGAAACATTCTTGGATGCAGTATCATATAAAAGACGGTGGTCCTGATGATTTTACCCGTAGACACCGCAAGATATGGCAGGAAATGCAATGCACTTGATGTTGTTCTCCTTTGCCACTCTCAGACTATTCCTGAGACAAGCGGAGAAACACATTGTTTTTGTTCAGAACATGTCTGAGTACACAACGGTGATATCAGACCGAACTATGTATTGCTTACTTGTATGCATTTGCGAGGGATTCTTTAGGGTTACTGTCCGAATCATAAACCGGCCCGACCGTGTGAATCACATGAGATGCAGGCAGGTTGAAACCACTGCACAGCGGTAAATTCATCAACAAACTCGACTTGGAAGGTGCAGAAAGTTATACAGGAGAAGAAAAGAGAACCTACGGGGTGATTCTTGCTTCTCCGGTAGGGCAACGGATTCCAGGACGAACTTCCGGGACCTCATAGCAAGCAGCTCTCAGCTGCGGCCCAGCAGCTCTATGTATGGCTGATGAATGCCAAGTGAGTGCGATCGCCATGAAAGCCAGTCGAAATGTTCATCACATTATCAAAATGGATAAGGGTTCTAGAGAAAATGGCAAGGAACAGCTCGAGAATTTACCTCCATCTGCACCACCACCGCCTAGCATACGTTCATTTGCCGGATTAACCTACGATAAACAAACTGTTAAAGCCATGGAATTGATGCGGCCACGGCACCAGCTCGATGAACGTGAATTCATCTAGGTTCTAAGAGGCCGTGAAACAGAGCATCTCTTCACTTTCATCGCCAAATTCCAAATTTTAGTTTGATCTGCTTACTTTTCTACCGCGGAATAGAAGAGACTACAGCATCAACCCTAGGAACAGAATTGATCGAGAGGGATATACAGATTACAGAGAGAGAGAATACAAACAATAGCATCGGAGGAACCGTCGACGGACCACCTGGTGATATCGCCTTTGAGGATATTAAGAACACTAGAATCGGACAACTTGAAAACGGCTCCTTCGCCACTAGACGCCATGGTTGATAAATTGGCAGCGCCGGAGAAACTTCTCGTCCGAGGGGAAACAGCCGACGGAGAGGCGCAACTGAGAAAGCTCGGGAAACGAAGGAGAATACTGTCAAGAAATCGGACCCTGGTGGTTACACCGGAAAAGATAGAGGATTTGACGGCGTCAGAGTTCGGAGGAAGTCTAGGAGCGGCGGCGGAGGCGGTGACGGAGTGGGATATAGATCTGGAAGAAAAAGGGATTCTCATTGGTGCGAATCCAAAGTTCTCTCTTTCGGTCTTCGGCTTCGGCTTCGGCCCATTCAAATGGCGGATTTTTGTCTGTTTTGCAATCTCTGGATTGGGCCTATTTAACTTCATAATAAATAAATTATGTATAAATTACCAAAATAAGATAATTTTTCACTGTGAACAGTTTTTTTTCCTTCTTTTTTGGTTTTGATTATATTGGAAAATCAGGTTAACTAAGATAAGTTTTATTGCAAACATCCATGCAGAATGTGACCGTGTATTATTACATAATAATAATCAAGCAACACAATACCCACTTTCCCTTTAATAACTATTAATCATCTGAATTAGAAACTTAATTATATCAAAATCTCTGATTTGTATCAATCTCATGGCAAAATGGTGAGGTGCTCTTCGAAATAAAAAAAAAAAAAAAGATTTTTCACACGGTTTGATTTTAGGGTCAGTGTTTTTTGTCGTTTCTTACATTGATAACGAACATGATCAAGAGAAGCAGAAAGAGTGATGATATTTCAGACAGAAAGAGGATCTAGTAAGCTTTCTGTTCTTTTCAGAATCTTGAGAACCATTAACAAAACCTTTCTAGTACATGGGAAGAAAGCCAACAGATGATGAAGACAGTCCCAGAAAATTTTCCCGGGAAAAAAAATCCAGCAAACTTATGTTTTTGGACTGAGACCTGCAATCACTTTCTGTTCTGCTAAACCAAAATCCAAATTCAACAGATACAACAATCGCTACGAGGTTGAAGGAAGAAGCACCTGGAAAACCACCAAACGGAGATGATCTCTGTTCAGCAAGAACACAGAACACACGAGAGATTCGGTTCTTGTTTGCTGGCTTCCCCACATGAACGGGGTTCAGGACGAATCGGAGCTCAGGAAGTCAGATAAGTTAAACACCTATGGTCTCTAATTCATAAGTGAGAATAGAAACACCAGTTTACAGAAAGAATCAGACATAATCAAGAAATTACCACATTGGGGGCGGGTGAGTGAAAGAATAGTTTATCGACAAAAGGATATGGAGGGTTTTTCAGGAGATGCAAAACCCAAATATTCCATATTGGCTCACATGGCGCTGCTGCTTTCGCTGACCGAGTCAGACCTCCTGAAGCAAGAGGAGACTCTGCCACAGCTACCAATGTCAAGATCCTCTAACCGGCCAAGAGGGTCTTGCTTCATTGCCTCCGAAAATGAATGTGATTGCCCTGAAGCAGTAACGAGCATTGGCTGATGAGCAGAGGGTAATGGGCGAGATGAAGAAGATGTTATTATGTTCGAGTTTGGCATTCTGTTGTTGGGTTGGAAGAGGAGAAACTGAGGAGGCATTCGCAGGTTGTGAGCGTCGGATTGCGATTCTTGAGGCTGACGTTGAAAGAAAGATTGCGGGTATTGCATGCAGCCCATTGCTATTCCAAGGTTATAGGCATCAGAACGTGACATTTCTCCGGTGGCGGATTTCAGCCTCTCGACTTCCTTCTTCAGTGCCTCATTCAGTGCTGCACGGTGATTATCATCAACATGGTACATGAGATTTAAGAAATGATATGTCTTTCCTAACAGGACAATATCAAAGATACGAGGACAGAATGTAATGACCGAACCAGAAATCATATCAAAGAACATATCTCCATTGCATATACGTAAATAGACCTCTAGGTATGGGTGTTCGAGGTCTAATACATGATGAAAAGAACAATCAAGATCTTGATTCTTGCCAGAGAAGAAAATTTTCAACATACCATCTCGCAACTTGGCTTGTTGTTCCATGGCCTGTAAACGAAGCTTGAGCTCTGTATTCTCAGACGATAACCCATTCGTGTCTCTCTAAGAAGAAGAAAATAAGCAGGAGATAAAAAGATCAGTGCTACATCAGTAACAAATTCCGGAAAAAATACATTGGAAGAAACGTTATAGAATATCAGAAAGCGAACATTGAAGTTCATATGGCTCCTCTATGTCTAGTAAGGTGGCGAAAGAGGCGAATATACACTTTCTCAAGATATGATAAGACTACTCCCGTTTCTTGCACGAAAAGAAAGTTGCAAACTTGCTTCACAAGGAAGCTTTCGTTGTTTAAGATAAGAACCTGGAACAAGGAGAGTTGTGCAGAGAGAGTAGTAGCTTCAGTTTGCAGGATCTGGACTTTTCTCTCGAGCTCCAATATATACCGAGCCTTCCTCTCTTTCGAGCGGGTAGCCGACTGCCGGTTTGCAATTATCCTGCATTAAACATTGCACGCACAGAAATACCACGCATCAAATATTGCACAAATCATTGCCCCTATTGAAATGGAAAGAATGTACGAAGCTCTGTAACATCCCAACAGTCTAAGCCTAATCCGTTACGGTAATGTACAAGAATCGGAACAGAAACTGGTTCAAAAGATGATCTTAGATACAAGAATGTTAATTCTACAAGGGAATGTCAAAGGAGACACTTAGAAAGTTTGAAATGTCAAAATTGATTGGAACAAGTTCATGGCCAGATGATTGCTAACCAAACAGAGATTGACAAGCGAGTTTCATTCTACCAATCAGGCAAAAGCTAGTTATATAAAAAAAATCTTTATGGCCATCCTTTTACACGAAGGAGACATTTCCACAAAATTCAACTAGATCGAGCAAAAAGCATAGAGATGGGACCCTCATAGATCGAGCAAAAAGCACAGAGATAACTGAAAAACAGAACCAGGTTGGCGAAAATGGGGAAGAAACCTTTTAGCCCTTTTGGGGTCGACGACCCAGAGCTCGGCGAGCTTGTCCGGGGCCATGGCTTTCTTGGCTTCGATCGAATCCAATGTCGAAGAGCCATCAACGGAGAGGCTGTGCCTGTGCCTAGGCTTCGAATTTCTGGCATCGTCCCGGCCTCCGCCTTCATTTTCCACCGGGACCAGGTTGTCAGGTCTCGGAGCAGAAGGTCCGGCCGAATCGGATGCTGATGCTGATGTGGATCTGGATCCGAGTTTCTCTATGTCCATGTACGAGCAGAAGAGGTCATCTGCGGATCCGAGGTCATCGAATCCGCCGAATGGGTCCGAAAGCTCCAGGTCCTCCGGGAGCCGGAATTGCACCTCTGAGTGGGCTCTCCGGTGGTACGGACCCCGGAACGGCGCCGGCGCCGGAGCAGCAGCACCGGGGTTTGCCGGCGGTGGAGTCGGGCATTGTGGAAGGTGGTGATTGCTCGGGTTCGGTTTGGGGTTTGAAGGATCCTCCATGCCCGTTCCGTCGCTCCCTCTATCTCTGTCGGAATCAGACAGCGAGAGAGAGATTCAGATTTCACGTTCACGTTGAGCTTTTCTGCCCGAAGAGGGATACGTGAAAACCCAGAGAGCGTGAACTAAAACGCCGTCGTTTCATGCGGCATTTACCAATCAGATCCCTCTACTATTTGTTACCGCCGTTAATTCCATACCATAATCTGCTATTTTGGGTAAAACCATTAATTTAAGTTTTTCTCCTCCAAAATTAAGTTTATGGATAGACAATGCAAACATGGAACTGTTCGTATTTAGTCTATGTCCGTTTGGCTGCTAGGTTATCATATGAAAATTCATATATTTATAATCAGTCTAATGAATATTAATTGACGTCTTTTGTTAAATGATGCGGGAAAATTTTATATAGTTTTAATTATTATATATATATATATATTAACTAACAAGAAATATAAGATGTAATAGAATACAGTAAGAAAAAGGAACCTGCTGCAAGAAAGTATCCGGTTCATTTGGGGATGGGAACACATCGCCATGGCCAGGAGGATACCTTCAGAAAGATAGACAGTCATTAGTGGAAATGAACAAATAAAAGATCCGTAACTGTGACAATCCATAACCGGGAAACAATTCATCCAAGACATCAGGTAACTGCAACCCGGTTCCCTCGATGGCTGTAGAAAAATAACAACAAGTTGATGCCGGCATTCGAAACCGGGAGACAACAGTAGAGGAGATAAAATGTACAACGGAACGAAACACAGTTGAAGACTCTTACTGTCGAAGTAAGATACACCGAAGTGGCTTTTGACAAGATCTCGGACATCCAACTCCAAAGCCAAAGGAACTTTGAACTCTCTGTAATGCTTGACGTGCGGAAACTTCTCAATCACCTAAAAATTCAGATTTCCGATTTTATAAAAGATATCGTAAATACATGTACAATCCTATGAACCAGACCTTAAGCAGAGACTTGACAACTGACATTCGTAGGCAGCGGACCAGATTTGACTTCAAGCTCAACTCTTGAATCATAATCTGCAAAGCTAAACCCAACAAGATATGATTCGAACGTTATCCAGCGATTCTACTCACGCAAAAGTAGCAGGAACCTTCTCCAATCTCCAAATTCCACAGATTATGCGCTCGCTATCCCAAAATGCTATCGAGTATAACAAACAATCACGACCTTGGTCACAATTTCAACCCAGGAAAACTGTAAAATAAGCTTTGAAAGGCAACCAACACCATTTATTTTTAATTTTGAAAATTTACCGCAACTCAGTGACCTTTTTCCAAGCTTAAGTCTCACAACGGGCTAAATTTCTTCACAACTCTTCAGGACCATTGATGTCCTGGATGAATCAAAATGAGAAAAAAAAAAGAATCGATTTCCATTGCTTTACAGCATTACCTTGTTCTCGATCACAGCCCCATCCGGGATTTCGAGCTTTGCCCAAGCTTCTGCCGTGACAGTTACATTCCCCTCCAAAATAAGAGCGAGTTTCAAAGAATTGCAGGGTACATACGTACAAAGGCATATGTATGTGTTCGTTATGTTAACACGTTGGGGTACCCCAAAAGCTAGCTTGTTGGGGGAGGGTGTCCATGGTATTATATTGACTCAATTGTTCCCACATATTTCCGATGTGGGACTCTAACAATACCGCCCCCTTTAGACAGCGACGACCACGGCACTGGCGGCTTCTTGGTCGCTGGCGGCTACGCACCCTTTGTGTTCCTCTCCCGACCGTTCCTCTCCCGCCGCGTCGTCTGCATGTCTGAGGATCGGTTGGTTCAGATACCAATTTGATAGAACCCACTCATTAATAATGGGTCCAACAAAGTCTCAAAGCCCATGGGTAGAACTCATACCAAAAGCTAGCTTGTTGGAGGAGGGTGCCCATGGTATTATATTGACTCAATTGTTCCCACATATTTTCGATATGGGACACATTGCATATATATATATATACCTTGAGAACAACTCCAGAACCAAACAAGACATCGTCGGAAATCTTAAGGCTGTTGAGCTTGACGATACTTGGGTTGGAATGGAACCGGGCTCAAGAAGTTATATACATGTCCGGAAAAAAGACAGCAGAGAGTTTGAAACTGGGGTGCCAAAATAGTGTTTAGAAAGCATTAGGGAATATCAATGTATACGAACTACTTCACCTTCTTGAACTCTGGTCCCAATTTGTTGACCTATACACACAATAAGAAAATAACTCTCAACAACACCAGCTATCTCAATATACGCAGTCTCATTTCATGCACAGAGCAAATACAACATTCAACATCGGAATGTAAGAGCAGTGGACTTACACGTTCATCAGGAGCTTGAGCAATCTCCAAGAGCTGCGATACAATAAGAGATAAGTTAATTTCACGTGTAAAAAGAATTGCTTCACATTAGACAACGCAACATTGCAGAGACTTTTATTATAAAATCTACTGCTGGATCGAAAAATACCTAATTGACATGCAGTTTGCAAATACGTATGGCAAAAGAGAAAAATTCTAGGTAGATGGGACGAGCCAGAATTTACCAGAACTCTGTCAACACCCATGGCAAAAGAGATGAGAGTGCCTCCCTTTACATCTGCTAAGGTTTTAGGCGTAACCTCCATACAATACTCATTCTGGAACAAGTGCTTCAAGATTTCTAAAGTAGCATAAAGTCAAGGACACATGCAGGATAATTAATCTTTGATTTCATTCAGGTTATGTTAGTTACATAAGAACTTTGAGGAGGATACTTAAGTCAGCAATGGCACCCAGGTTGTCCGAGTTGGCAACACATACATACTCCTTACCCTGAACAGACACAAGAGAGAAAACGAAACAACAAACATTGGCCAACTTAGACATCAGGGACAAAAATTTAGAAAAAGTTGTAACAGAATACAGAAAGAAAAAGAACCTGTGGCTTGCCGCTGTTCATTGGGAATACATCACCATGGCCAGGAGGATACCTTCAGAAAGATATACATTTATTAATGGAAAGGAACAAGTAAAAGATCCATAACTGTGAATGGGATGACATTGGGTGGACGGAATCCAAATAATTTGAAAACCCAAATACCAAGATGAGGAATACAACACTTTGTTAACCAGCTACCACAAGATATTCATCAGGTTGTAAATAGCTTAATACAAGAGCAATAGCAACTACTTGTGCTCTGTAAACTAGAACACTAATCTGAGAACACAAGGCCTCATACTTCCAATTAGAACACATCTAATCCTGCTTTCTAGGAGCGCTAAGTCATAATAACAGGTACCTAGATTTTATCACACCGGTTCATGATGATATCTAACTTGCATAAGGAAGATCATAAATTAATGACAATCAGGAACCTGGTTAAATGTGTGACTGTCGACATTGGAGTTGGGGTACTTCTCCACAATCTGAACGAGACAAAACCCAATCAGCCTACAACAATAATCGAATCTTTCCCAAATGAAAACATGTGGAGATCTACCGCAGTACCTTTCGTGTGTCATCCTCTGTATTGAACGAGTTCATGAGAACAAGCGGAACCTTACAACCGTACTTGTTGTTAAGATTCTGTGGTATGTAATCACATGGGGTGATGGGACTACACAAAATATAAGATGAGAAAGAAGATGAACCTCAATCTTGATAACAATCAGGTCAAGAAATGTCAAATCATCACAAACTTCAATTGATAGATCTACATGGGAAAAGGAAAACATAAAACCTTTTCTGGTAAGGGAAAACAAAAAACAGGAAAAGGGAACGAGGTAGAAATTAAAAATCGAAATCATCAGCATCGTGATAGATCATCATAACCCAGAAGCAAGAAAACAAGAAATCGAACACATTCCTGGAAACCCATTAAAATTTAGCCGAAAACTACGAGACACAAAACCTGAGAAGTTAAAACGGAAGCTTCGAGAGGCATCGGAGATGTAATAGACGAAGCGAAGTGGTTTTCTGCGGGAATTTCTCGAGGGAAGACTGATTAGCGATACAGGTCGTCGGCACTACCATTTCGGACGATGGCAAACGGCGGCGCGTGGCTGAACGGTCGAACGATGTCGGAGATGGCGAGAGTAGATGAGAGGAATGTGCCGGAGCCAGTTTCTTTATTTTTTTTCTGTTGCCGAAATTATGATCTTCAGGCATTTTCATGACCGTTGTCAATATATATATGACCGTTGTCAATATATATATGTATAGCACTGTATACAGCTGGCAAAATTTAAAAGGGGCAACAAAAGAGAAATATTTGTAAATATATATTAATGTTTTTATCCTTGTAGTTATTAAAATCTTTCAGAAATAACCAAAAGTTTTAATATAATAAAAAAAGACCCCTACGAATCAAACTATTTCCTTTACAATCAATTCCTTCCCATCATTTAATTAAGTATCCACGTTGTTCACTTGAGTTGATTTATTTCTTAATGAAATACTTGAGTTATGAACTCTTCACAATTTTTCTTGGATACACAATCTTCAATATATATATACACACATGAAAATTTTATCATATATCAAACATGTAATGTAATCTAACCATGTGTGTATAATAGGCAATATGTATGATATTTTCAAAATAGTTATTATGTTTTGCATTTTCTTTTCATAGGAAGACATCTTACATTCAATATCAGAAAAAAAAAAAAAAAGAGATACTTACATTATAATGCTTGAGGCTAGCTTCGTATCGGTAGGCTGTAGCATCCTCGGTGGAAGTCCAAGAGGATGGCTTTTAAAACCAAAGCCCACAATGCGAAAAAGCCCAAAAATTCAATTAAGGGAAGTTACAGCGTGGAAATGACGTGGAAAATCATACGATCCATTTTTATGCTGACATGGATCCTTACGGGTCGGTGCAGTCAATTAGCCAACCCGGGCGCGTGCTCACCCAAGCCTTGCACACAGCCAAATCGCGTCGCCACGTGGTTTCCGTTTCCCCTCATCCCCAGCCGTCAGATCAAGATCGAACGCCCATGATGAAGACTGATTAATTGGTGTATGGTGTACGGCGTTGTAGATGATTACTACCCTATGAGACTTTCGAGGAAACGGGATAATCGTATCATATGGGATTCAACGTCGCCACATCTCAACCGTCCGATTCGCAACTTACACAATTTTCATGTGCTGATAGATTCAGTCGAGGTTGAATTATATAAGTATTTGGACCGTGTTTGGCTACGTCATTATTAAAGAAACATAAACGAGGACCAAAGAAACCGCCGAAGATTCGAATATATATACAAGAGAATCCGGCCGTGCTTTGTTCCGTTTTCCGACGATCTTTTTCCCTTCTGCGGACTAACTGCATTGCCTTCCGGCGGGTGATATGGCGGCTTGTGCGAGAATTTGTTGCGGCGGCGGCGGAGGAATCGTCTGCGATCGGCGGACGGTGAACGCCCGATCGCCGCCGTGCGTGGTTCCGATCTCTGGTCGCCGGAGTCGTCGCTTGTCCGAGATCGGGAGGATTTCGATGTCAACGTCGATGGCGAAACCGGCGGTCAAGTTGGCAGGGAGGAGGAGGCTCGGCGGAGGAGTAAGAGATGACGGGGCCGTCGTGTCGAGGGAGAAGCTCGACGAGTGGATGAGGGATTCGGTGGTGGAGATCGTGAAGAATCTGAGGGAAACTCCGCTGCTGCTCCACGTTTACGCCGGAGCGAACGGATCTCTGACCTCCACGGCGGCGGCGACGGCGTTAGAGAAGGCGGAGGACTGGCCGGCGGTAGAGGGGAGATGGGAGAGAGGGGAAGAACGGACGCCGGAGGGCGTGATATTCGTGGAGAAGCTCGGCGATGATGACGTCACAGATCGGGATTCAGCGGATGAGAACGGTCGCGTTGGTGACGTAAGCGACGGCGGAGCGCGTGGGGAAGGAACGAGCGCGTGGGGAATCGTGGCGCAAGGGAGAGGAATGGATTGTGGGCCGGTTTGCTATCTATTGAAGACAACGCGGGTCAGGTCCGGTTTAGGGCCGGTTTGCACGCACTTCTCTTTGGTTAAGGTGAAGAGCTTCAGGGAAACGGCCATGTCGCAGCTGAGCAACTGCTGGTTGGTGCAAGCTGGTCAATGAAAAGCCAGCAGCCCTCCCTCCATGGATTATTCTACTTAGCCAATTCATTAGAGTCAGAGAATCAAATCTGTACATTGGATCTTACATTCCATATATTCTTCATTCTTGCCGATTTCAGAATCGAATATATTTTATTTTCCAGCTATTTCATGGAAATTTAAGATATTGTGGCACAAAAGTATGAAAAACTCGACAGACTTATCAATATGAAATATATGTGATCTTCTTTGATTCAGTCCCTTCTCCATGCTCCATTTCTTTCGGGTGTATTTATAATTCTTGGCCCAACCATACAATTACCAGATTCCTCATGATTCACACCTAATTCTTGTTCATCAATGGAGGTTCCATTATGACAGCCATGGTAATGATTCCAATGAAGAGCTTCACGTTTTAGCAGTCGATGACAATCTCATAGATCGTAAGCTCGTCGAGAAGTTGCTCAAGATCGCCTCTTGCAAAGGCAATTCCAAGTTTTTTGTTTTCTCCCGTTTCTTTTCTGAATCAAAATCCGCTCTTTCATCGTGTTTGGATCCAGGCTTTTTTTTGTACATTGGTTTCTGAAACATGAATAAACTACTTGTTGCAGTGACTACAGCCGAGAATGCCCTCTGAGCATTGGAGTACTTAGGTCTGGGAGATCAACACCAGACTGATAACTTGACTAACAAGGTAACCAGACCCAGATTCTTAACTGATGCCAGAGAAAAATGCATTTTTTGTCATATACATCGATATAATTTGGTTCACTGTGTAGATATCTTCGGATAATGTGGCCTTTGCTCATGCTTTCTTGGTTGTGTTTCCACTGTTTCATAACCGTTTTCCTCTAACAACAATGTAACATTTCCGATGCATACATGTGATTTTCTCGGAATTCGAAGGTCAATCTTATAATCACGGATTACTGTATGTCCGGAATGACAGGCTTCGAGCTGCTCAAGAAGGTGAAGGTACAGAACGTTACCTCGTTTCCTGAAAAGTCCAGAGCTTTCTCGATGCTTCCTACAATAATCTCTTTGTTTCCATGATTTTGATTTTCCGGCAGCAGAGTCATCCGGTCTGAAGGAGGTTCCAGTTCTGATCATGTCCTCAGAAAACATCCCTACTTGTATCAAGTAAGTTCAACCTCAACCTGTTCTCCACAACTTTGGGAGCTAAGATCTGTTCTGGGAGGGTAAAGTAAAGATCTCTTTGCCTTTGTCTTACCACAGATGTTTAGAGAGTGGAGCTCAGATGTTCATGCCGAAACGGCTGAAGCTCTCAGAAGTAAAGTCTCTGAAGTGCAATCTGATGAACTGCAGAAGCTGGCAGTTTACTAGGAAAAAGATCAGATGCAGAAAACTGATAAAGTGAGAAAGGATGTTATTATTATCACTATTATCTTGAATCAACATAATGACTCTATTGATTGGTAAACTTCTTCTCTTCCCCTACCTATATGCAACCGCATCAGAAATCTTGTAATCTCAGATAAATTATTGTCCTTTACCTCCTTCGATTTCAAGAAATCAAAAAGGGATCTGCTTTACAAGTTTTCAGAAATCAAGAAACCTTTCACATGCCTATAAATACCGTCCTGATGATGTTGTCCGTGGCGTGACAATAGGGGTATTACCAATCTCACATAGTATGTACACATATATATACACAAATGTTGAATCAAATCCAAGAATCAATAACCAGAGAATCAGGAGAAATGTTTATGGTGAATGTGGTGACGATGACGTCTTTCGTCCAATCCGAAACAGCGGATTACAGGGTAACAGCCCACGAAGAAGAATCTCCCCATACCTCTAACCATGGAAGGTGGTTGCCAACAAGAACAATGCTCGTGTTTCCTTGTCGATTCTCTCTCTTTTCTCCCTGCCTTGCCTCTTTCGCCACCGCGGCTGCTACGGCGGATTGGCATGGCTTTTACTGAACCCAGAAACAGGCTCAGATCAATCTGAGAGATGATACAAGAACCCAGAAAACACGGATCAGAGCCTGACAAATCTTATGGTGCGAGAAAAGTCTTTGGAATTGAAAGATTAAAACTTTTTCCCACCCCAAGCTTTCACTTTCAGACAAGAATTCCAGAGAGTCTCGGTCGGGCAATTCAACAAACACATGTGAAAGCATGGTAATTCACAATCATGACCAAAACCAAATAAGAAGAAGAATACCCTTTGTGTTTTCTTACCTCGGGTCCTTCACGAGATCAGAATCATTTGCTGAAAAATCCCAGAAAAAGAAGGATCAAGGGGACGAGATTTGATGGGCGGGATGGCGGAAGATGGTCTGATGCTTGGATTGTTCTCTCTCTTATTTTTAGTGACAGATTTCTTGTTTGTTTGTTTTTTTAAAATCGATGAGAGGGAATATCCGAAAACGCAATGGAGAAGAGAGACAAAACTACGAAGGCTCCATCTCCATGGGCCATGGCCATGGGAACTCGAAACTGCGTGTATCAGTTTCTGTGCTTTGTTTCGATGTTTGTTGTTGTTTGCCGCTGTGTTGTTGTGCTGTGTGAAGCCTTCACCGGTCATTTCGTAAAGCTTCGGAACGAAGACGACCCCACCTACCAGACATTAAAAAATATATATATTATTTATTTATTTATTTATATGGTTTCTTTTTTGACTTATGACACATAAGATCATCCTCTGCAAGTGGTACAAGTCATCTATGTAATATAATTTCTTCTATAATGGGTTTTTTGGGTACATTGGTATATGAATATATTTTTTCCAGATATCTTTACATTTGAAAATCGACATCAAATAATTAATTAATATCCTCAAACTAAAAATATTTACACCCCATAGAAGAAAAATAGTTGGGGGCCATGGGCCTGGCCCAAATATTAACGACGTCGTATTGGGCAATAACACGACCCCCTGGCGGAAGACGGCAGAGCGAAGTCGAGAACTTGTTTCAGTGTAGTCGTCGAAGAAGAAGATGGTGAGGAGAACCCTACAATCAGCGAAGGAGACAAAGCGAGAACACGAAGATGGCAATAAAAGGAACCAGCAGAATGATTTATTCGCTTCTTGTTCCTTCTCTTCCCTCGGCCTCCATCCCAAGCTATGCGACGAGCTCCGAGGTTCTCTCTCTCTCTCTGTACTCGTGTTTATGTATGTTGGTAGGTGTTTTGTCCTTCCGATTTTTTAGGTTAATGGTTTTATTTTTGTGTTAATTTGCAGAAAGGATGGGATTTCACGCTCCTACGCAAGTACAAGCTCAAGCTATTCCTGTTATTCTCTCCGGTCGCGATGCGTATCCTTTCCTGATTGTTTTGAAGCGATTTATGAAACTTTGAGGATAAAGATGGTGGATTTTGTTTTGTTTGTTGGGTTTGTTTTCTTTAACCTAAAAAACAATGTACAGACTTGTTAATGCAGCTACCGGCACTGGAAAAACTGTAACGTATTTGGCACCGATTATTCATCACTTGCAGAGTTACTCTCCTAAGATTGATCGTTCCCATGGAACATTCGGTATGTTTCTGTCTGCACTATGGACTAAACTACTGCTGTGTTTGGAGGTTAATGAGTTATGTGGGAATGTTGTCGGACTTGTATGCTGCAGCTTTGGTGCTTGTCCCGACGCGTGAACTGTGCCTTCAAGTGTATGAGACATTGCAGAAGCTGCTGCATCGGTTCCACTGGATTGTACCAGGTTATGTGATGGGAGGGGAGAAAAAGGCTAAAGAGAAAGCTAGACTGAGGAAAGGTATGATCTTTGATTCTTTGTCAATTTGCATTCGAGGGCTGCATTCTCTCATGTAGACTTTATGGGTTTTAGTCGTGCTCCTTGTTTGTTTCATTCTTTGGTTCTTTAGTGAACTTGAGCTCTTTAATATATATTTTCTCATATTATAAGCTGAATTGGCCTTGAGGTCTATGTGTAGATGCAGGAAGAATTAGAAAATTAAAGAATTTTGGGTTGGAATGATTGTTGCATGGCATATGAACGACATGGTTGGTAATAATTAAGCTCAAGCCCTGGATTCTGTTTGAAGGGCACAAAATCATAAACATTTGCCTCTCATAAACAAAAATTTGTTGAATGTATGGTTGGTTATCTTCAGGCATATCTGTCCTCATCGCCACCCCAGGACGCCTTCTTGACCACTTGAAGAGCACAGCTTCGTTTGTGCACAAAAATCTGCGTTGGGTTATCTTTGATGAAGCTGATCGGTATAAGTTACTGCACCTTGAAGTTAATTTCTTCCTTGCTGCTGTGCATCAGTGCATCCTTGTAACTTCTTGTGTGAATCTTGGCAGCATACTTGAATTAGGTTTTGGCAAAGACATAGAGCAGATACTTGACCATCTAGGTTCCAGACGAAATGGGGAAGTGGGAGAGGATGGTGCTGTTTCCAATGGTTCTCAGAAGCAGAACTTGTTGTTGTCAGCCACTTTAAATGAAAAAGTAAACCACCTTGCTAAAATTAGTCTGGACAATCCAGTAATGATTGGTCTTGACAACAACCGACCCCAAGATTTATCATTTCACGCTCCTGGATCTCCTGTCTCGGATGCTGATGATATGATCATTCATGTAAACAAAGGGATAGACTCTTCATCGGGGGATTACAGAATACCATCCCAGCTGGTGCAGAGATATGCCAAAGGTCTGTTTTTCTTTACTTGAATCTTTCTAGTTGTTTAATATGTTTCTACATTGTGTGACAAATGTTATCTATGCAGTACCATGTGGCTCACGGATTGTTGTACTTCTTTCTGTCCTGAAAAACCTGTTTGAGAGAGAAGCTTCTCAAAAGGTAGTCTCACCCATTTGACCATATCTGAAACTCGTCAGTTGTCATATAAAACACCCCCTTATGCAATAGTTTATTTTTCTTATTCTTCCCCATTTATTGGATCTTGCGTGTAAGTTTTACTCACCCGCTTGATCTGCAGGTGGTGGTGTTCTTCTCGACACGTGATGCTGTAGATTTTCATTACTCGCTTCTGAGTGAATTCCAGTGGCCACCAAGTTCTGACCCAGAAGTAGAGATTAAGCAACTGTTCCTGAAATGCAAAACTTTTCGATTACATGGAAGCATGGAGCAAGAGGATAGAAGAACCGCATTTGGGGCCTTCAACACAGAGAAACAGGCTCTTCTCTTGTGTACAGATGTAGCTGCAAGAGGCTTGGATTTCCCAAAAGTAAAATGTATCGTACAGTATGACTCTCCTGGGGAAGCCACTGAATATGTGCATAGGTAATTTTATTAGTGCCAAAAACCAGATGACCTACCAGATGACACATACACTACACAATGAGTTGACCAAGCTTTGTGGTTGCAGAGTTGGTAGAACGGCTCGTTTAGGCGAAAAAGGAGAGGCCTTGCTATTTCTACAACCGATTGAGATAGATTATCTGCAAGAATTGGAGAAACATGGTGTGTCACTCACGGAGTATCCTCTTCTGAAAGTACTGGATAAGTTCCCGCTGCTTGGCCATATGCCCCGTATCCGAAAGGTTATCTCACCAGAATCACATCCATGGGTCATATCTCTGCAAAAAGCTCTTGAATCGTTTGTCTATGCTGAGGTATATGATCCCTTCCACGGGTTTTCGACTTAACTCTCTTCCGAGATAGTTCTCTGCCTAAATATATACATTATCGTTGCTATTCACAGCTGAAAATGAAGAAGCTGGCAAAGAGTGCGTTTGTTTCTTGGGTTAGGGCATATGCAGCTCACAAAGGAGAGCTGAAGAGACTCTTTGTGGTGAAGAAGCTTCACCTTGGGCATGTTGCTAAAAGCTTTGCACTGAGAGAGCAGCCATCTTTGGTGGGGAAAGCACACCATAAACAGCAATCTAAGAAGAGGAAGAGAGACGAACGGCAAAAGGGGCAACAATTGAAGAAGAGGAAGAAGGTGGGGACACAAAACACATGAGAAAACTCGGACAAATGGTTATACGCTGCAAAACCATGATTTATCTCTTCTTGTTGTTAAGAATTCGTATAGGCCTTGTGGTTCAGTTTTGAAATGTGAGCCATGAACCACCGACCGGAAAAGGATATGATTTGTTGAGAATTTATAATAGCAAAATGTTGTAACTTTAAATCTTAATCATGATTATCAGAACAAATCTATCAAAAATTTCAAATTTTCAGTAGATGGCAAATAAAGATGAGGATTTGATTCATTGAACAAGAAAGACATTCTGAGAAGTCGTTTTATAGAGCAACTGAAACGTATGGGGGCACTCTTTGATGTAAAAAGAATGATGTTACAAATCAAATAATTCGTTTATGACATTCATCGCTTGGTCCATTGTGCTTATATGAAAGCGAGTCACCTGCAGATTATATATATATAAAATTTACATAATGTCCTGTCTTCCTCTTCCTTGGAGTGTTTTTTTGACTTGGCTCAGTACCCAGAAGAGGTTCGGTTTATGCGCTGTGCACCCAATTTAGGAGCAGCAGGTTTGGCTGCTCTGCCTCGACCAGCCGTGAAAGGTTTTGCTCTGGTGGTCGGTAATGGAGCAGCAATGGCGGCCCATGGGTCATCATCATCATCTTGTCCTGCCCTTTTCGCATTCAAGGCTCTTGAAGTAGCCCCAGGCATCGGAGCAGCTATCGATCCCCATAAATCATCATCCTCAGTTTTGGTTGCCTTCACGGTGGTAGCCTTTGGTCTTGAAGTTGTAGCTGCGAGAGGAATTTATCAGTATGACGATTAAAACGGGAGCAATACGCTTTTTGTAAAAGACAACCGACATAACTCTGGACATCGGTATGGTACCTTGAACTGGAAGCCGAGAAGACTGAGAAGCAGGCTGTGAGAAGGGCCGTTTCTGAGCAGCCTGAATGTTGGCGAGAGCTGGGGAAGGCTTCGGTTCTTCGAGAGGTTCGAGGTCACCCCATCCCTCTTTCTGGCTGTCATGATCTTCGTTGATCCCATTCTCTATGTCTCCCCACCCATCCGTTGATGTTGGGGACGGAGGTGCAGGTTGATCTGTAAAGTCTGAGTTGGAACGTGCATGACTCAGTTTCACACTTGGCGTCTCCATTGCTGCCAAAAATTTCCCCCCATGAATAAATATAAGACTAAAGTTAGATGTGAATAACACATCATTAAGGCAGATGTATCAGCAACACGATAGAGAATGTATCAGATTGTTATCAAATCAAGCACATCACTGATAACCCATAGTAGCTCGGAGTAAACTAAACTGCACCTGTGCTTGCGTCTGAGGCCGTAGAAGCCAGGGAAGGGGCCGAAACAGAAGCAGAAAGCGGTGCTTGTTCTGAGGGCTTTCCCTTTAAAGTCAAAGAACTCATAGCCCATCTATGGAAAAAGGATAAATCAGTCCACTTAGTTTCATGTTTTTTGTGGCCAATGTCCAAAAAATAGCTCATCTAGTAAAACTGAACAACAATCCTCACCCAATCAGACCAGAATTTCCAGGAACTGATGAGATTCCTGCCGATGCTGTTGTGTCTCCAGCATTTGTCTATCCGACACCAAACATCAATCATATCAGCAAAAAACAGGTACAATGAAGTACTAGAACAGGAAAACAACCTAAACATGAGGACCAAAAAGCAAAAACAAAGTCAGAGCTTGTGATCTAGGCATAAGGTCTGAGTCTTGGACTACCATATCCAGGACCTGGGTTGAGTTGCTCAGTTAACTCGTTCCCTTATTTCAGAAGAAATTTGATGGCGTTTATGCATACCTTCTCATAGTTCTGCTTCAGTATCTGCAGAAATTGCTCTACAGCCTGAAATGCCTTCGATCGAACCTCGCTATATGAAAAAAAATTGTAGAGAAAATGTTTAAAAATTAGAGCAAAAAACACTCAAATAACAAAAGATAGATGGTGTGTATCTTAAAAAGGAACCTGTCTTGATCAATGGTTAGCACGACAACGTTTGGAAGAATCCTAGTTGCAATTTCAGCGTCATCATAATAAGAACTTGTGGCACATAATGCAACAATCCCTGAGCCAAAAAAAAAGGGTAAAATTCAGTGAGATGCATATAAGATGATACGCTAAAAAACAAGGATATGTTGGAATATCCCAAACCAAACATAGAGGACCTGAATTTAAGGGAATTATATCATCTGACAATTATGCAATCAGTAGGATCCTGTAAACCAGGAATTCACATACCTGCACCTCGTGCAGGCGGGAATGCATCTCGCAGTGCACGCACTGTAAAAGCATTAATCAAAACTCTTTTCCTCGTCTGTACCATAATTTCAAGATTAAGCACCAAAAGAACATTTAAGAATCTGTAATATCTAGGCTTAAGATAAGAAACTAATAGTTTAGAATGAAGAATCAAAGAAAACGAGCAACTATAGCGGAGACCAACCCCTTCGTTCAAGTAGTTGGCAATATTTCCAAGTAATATGGTGGTATTTGTTCTAATCGCAGGCTCTTCATCCACCTGTTGAAGATAGAAATAAAAGGGAAGAACCTAAATCTCTAGTAGACACCTTCAAACATTTGATCAGAAAAACAAAAGAACAATAACCATCAAGCCATAACATAGTGATATAATTGTACAAAAAAAAATCAAATATGAGAAAGAAAAGGCCAGGCTATTAAGAGATGATAAATGCAGAACCTGCAGTTTGGAAAGGTATTTCAACAGGGATCCTGAAATTGTACGCTGAGAAAGCTGCAACATGCGAAGAAAAGAACAAAAGAGCATATCAGATACAATTGGACTAGGATTATCAGCCTGAGCAACAAATAAACACATAACTTTGTTGCTATAATAACAGATGAGCTAAATGTCTTTTGATGAGCTGAAACAGATGATAACATGCTAAAATGCTTTGAAAAATAATTTCACCGGAAAAAAAAAATCTTAAAAATAACCCAATTCATAGTTATATAAAAAAGGTTGAGAAAAGGAGAGAGAGAACGGACAAGGTCCATTACCTTAGGTGCTAACACGAGCATTGATTTAAGAGTCAACTCTCGAAGAAAAGGAGATGTGTCTGAAAATCCAGTGGAAACATGAGGGAATACCTAGCAAAAATACATTTCCTCATTGATCTTAAAAGTCTGCAATCACTCAAACCACTGCCTACCACTTTTCAGCCCACAAAAAAGAGGGAATTGATCTTACTTGTTCATCAACAATTTGCCCAGACAATGATTCTCCAAATTGATCAATATGTTGCAGAAGAGCAACCCTAATAGCTCTATCATTGGAAGCAAAAAGTTTGACTATGGTTGGCAGCACCTATAGATCATAAAAAGGAAACCATTCATAACGAGCATAGAAAAAAAAAACAGAAAATAACCAAACATACAGAACAATCAAAATATTAAGATTGTGATTGACATAGACATAGCATGACTGCACAACCTTTACACTGAAATCTTCAGCCGATAACCAGGAACCCATCTTCAGTAATGCAGTTAATGCAGGGGCGGCAGCTGAACCAAATTCAAGGGCAGAGGCTAATAAAGGAAGTAGCTACAGGAACCAGAAAATCTAGTCAAACATTAGAACAAAAAGGTTTCAACTCAAACAACGGATAGCTTTTTCAGTGCTCCACTACAATTTATAGGTCGAACCTTTTTCAGCACTATTTCACGAGGAAGTTGCTCAGCCAAATTTGGAAGCTTGCGGAAGAAAGTGTCTTTCTCGATGCTGTCTTTCAAGTTAAGGATCTCCATAAAATGTATAGTGTCTACCAGCTTATTTTGGAAATATTCTGCCAAATTAAGTACATCGAAGATGAGAAGCGTGAGGGGAGGAATGGTAGAAACTAATCTGGAAGAAAAGATGCAACACTATAACAGACAGAAACTAAAATCCTCAGAGAAGGGCAAAAAGCAACAGTACAAAGAATCAAAGTCCAAAATGTTAAAGAATAGAAATGCAGAATTATTAAATCATTATCTCTAAACAAAACACAAAGCTCACCACCATTCTCCAGTAATTTAGAGGTATTCAATCTGCGAGACGGCATGGAACTTAGGAGACGCTGATAATCTGGAAGCAGAGACTGTGAGAAAAGAAACATGCAAACAAAATGAACCCAACTCTTAAAAGATAAATTCCCTACAAACTAATAACTGCAATGCTGAAGGGAAAGTGTGAAGCCTTTTGGCCAAAAACACTTCTTTAGTACTTCAAAAGCCAAATACACTAACGGTACAGCTATAAATATGAGAAACCCAGAAATAGAGTGAGGACAGACAACACAATATTCAGGAATGAAACAAGTATTCAAGGAAATAATATAATTGAAGATTAACCTTAGGAATGCATCCAATGTTGCGCAGCTCCTCTGTTTTTCCCAGTTTGGTGCCCGAGAAGAGTTCATAAATTAGACAACCTGTAGAAAAGGAAACATAAAGGTTTTCATGAGCATCACACCGAAAAACAACCAGTTACATTTTATGTTTTACCTAGCAAAAACTTCAAAGGAAAGAATCCTGAAATTATAATCACCATGGCAATATAACAATGTGCCCTAACTACAATCAAGAACTTACCCAAGCCCCATGAATCAATGGCCCATGATGGAGATTTTCTGATCGCAACCCAATCAGTTTTCACCAGCTCCATTGGTTTATATTGTGTCCCAACAAGCCATTCGTATTGCTGAAAATTAGAGAATTTTTAAAATGAGAAGGAAGCAAAAAACAAAATAGAGGAAATATCTTAAGACAGCAAAGCCTGTTCCTTCACTTGGACAAGATGTCCTGATGTAACTAGGAAATAAAGGTTTCTGAAAAGAAATCATGATGTAACCAGGGTTGAGTTCAAATATTCCCACAGATGGACGAAAAAAAGGAGTAGGCTTATAACATTGAGAAGGCAATGAGAATGGTGCTCTAATAGGTTACGGCGATTAATGAAGTGTACCAGCATGGGACCACTTGCAGATTCATTGCTCCCATCAAACTCTGACAGAACATCAAAAGCATGGAGTTTCCAGTCCAAAGTAGGTGTAACAACAACACTCGCCAGACAGACATTTCCATGAACCTGGGACGGTGCAACTTAAAGTTTTATTTGAAATAAAATGAAAGAGAAATTTAAAAAAAAAACAGAGGTATTCATATCATGTCCCCATCAAGATGACATCTACGACAGTCGACGACAAGAATATATAGTACCATAACCATTTATTCTAATAGCTGAAATAATAATGTTTATAAGGAAATACTTACGAGCTTGCAGTCATTGTTCAGAAAGCTCACAGCTTTAGCTATCTGGTGCAGCCCCAATGCAAAATACTCATCCCTGAACGGAAAGTAATTCCTCATTACAACAGATTTCGACAGAGAGGTTCTAGGAACAATGGTGACAATCTATCATTCTGTGCATGAAAATGTCAAAACACGAATCACACATAAGAAACAGAAACTAGGAGGATGGAATGGCTTGTCATAAGACTCTAAAATGCCTCAGTACAAGATATGTCTCATTCCCTTTCATGCCTACAAGCCCATAAGAAAATTCATACCTTTGTGTGCCTTTCAGGCCTAGCTCCTTTATCTTTTCAGACAGTGGCATAACAGGTTCGGTCACTATATAGATTGTAACCTTTGTAGCAGAACCATCATGAGTTTCAATCTCGGTGCTGTGGAGAAATGACAGTATATTTGGATGCCTCACCTGGAAAAGGATAGGAGGAGATAATGCTACAGAGAGCACTGACAAGAGCTAAAGTGTTCTACATAACTTTGACATTCAGATGATTGGTAAGATAGCTATTTAGGACGTGCATCAGGGAAATTTCTCAAAGGAGGAAGAAAGAGTG